TTCATGCAAGACCTGGCAGGTTTTATTGCGCGCCATAGTCGGATTTACTCCTTTATTCAACCCGGTTGTTTTTTGTTGTTGTTGTAGATGCACGCAAAGCAACACCGCGTGCGTCTACGAGCGTCGCAAAAGAAAAACGCAGAATTTGATCTCCGTCAAGTTCGCCAACAAGACGCAGAGTAACAATTTAGCAGTTTGTATCCGGCGAGGCAAGGCGTTTGCATGCACATTCAAGGTCGCATAAGGTGCATTCCAGGTATATTCCTTCAAATTGTTATTTTTTGGAACCGCGAGTCACAGGTTTGCACACAATTGACACATAAAAGGAAAATAACAACTTTGCTTTGTTTTGTTTTACATAAATATAACTGTTGTGCATTGTGATCGTATTTCTACTTTTTAAATTTTAAAACAAATTGAGTGTAGATATATTTTTTTAACATAGTTATGTCATCAGAAAGTGTTATTTTACATTACATGAACGTTTTAGTTTTAGGTCGATTCATCACTGTTTTTTCTGTGTTGGATCGGTATCTGCCAATACAAAAACCACAGATATCTGTATTGATACCAGAAGTTAAAAAAAAAAAAAAAGATGAATAACGTGATGCAGTAAAATTCAAATCAGAGAAACATTCATTATGTTTATCAGTCTGAAGTTCATTTGTGTGAAGGGGGGTGGAATCACTGTTTTTCAGAAAAGTCTGAAATGAATGGATTATAATAATATATTCATCCCCAGAATCAATAATCAACAGTTAGTAATCACATTAATATAATGATCAATTAACTAACAAGACATAAATTAGTGTCAAATCAAACCGCTTCTCTAAGAGCCGGAGGAATGAAGTTGGGTGAACCGATCGCAGTTTTCCCGGTCGATCGCCGATATTTCAAAAGTCTGGTCCGCCCATTCTGATTTTGGCCAGTACCAATTTTTTAAAATCGTATTTTCATAACTGACACCGTCAAGACAACTTCAGTGTCCCTGTCATATTGCACTGAAAACGCTGAACAACAGCAACTGTTTAACTGAACATTACACTTTTAAATATGACCAGCAGAGCAAGAATGAGGACATTCAAGAGTGGCTGAATTCCAGATCACTTTCACATGTATGTCTCATCTCCTCTCTTTCTCCATTTGTTGTGCAGATAAAAATCTGACTCGCCTGCAACCATTCAGATACATTTAGTTGAGTAACTTTTTGGAAGAAATGCACTTTTAGGAGTAATGTTACTGCTGTTTTTTTTAAAATAATAATTTACTTTTACTTTAGTAATATTATTATGAGGCATCACAACTCTTGCTTGAGTAAAATGTCCGGGTCCTGTAGACATTGTCTTATTCTTTTCTAACGTGCGTGCATTACCTACTGTAAGGATTTATAAGTCTTTTGTAGGGAAGAAAAAGTGTTTCATCAGGTTGCTTTTGTTATTTTGTAATTTGGTTATTTTACTTTATATTTGTTGTCTCCCTGATTTCATCATTTGTATTAGATGTTCCATTCAGTTACTCTGGAAGTATTTTCACAAAATCCTGTTTTCACTTTTATTTGTGTAATTTCTTGGCTGGATAAATTTCCTTTTCTCTTTTTACTTTTACTCTTCAAATAAATACGTTGAAGTAGAGCTGCTCTTTCTTGAGAACATGCTACGACGTGTCTTCATGTGCGTTTAATTCAATCCCACTGGCACCCATTCACGTTTGTGGCTGTAACATGAATAGGTGTGCAAGGAATTGGCAACCAATCCCGATCCAAAACAAATGAAAATATTTCTTCTCTCATTGGGGATCTCAATTCATGTGAACGAGAAAAGTATTTAATTTCAGCTAATTATATAGAAATGCACTTCCTGCAACATGGTCTCTGTCCTCTTCAGGGCTGCTTCCTCGAGTGGCGTCTGATCTGGTCTGGCTGGCAGTTAGGTGTCAGATTAGATTGATCTCTAATCTCGTCTCGACTCACCCTTCCAGTCGACACAAAAATCTTTCTTGCGCCTCTTGTGCTTGCATTTCCATGCTCTCACTGAGTCAGGCATTCACTGTGCCCCTTTATTTGCTCTCAAAAATGACCATTGAAAATTATTCACGCCATAACAAACTGCCTTTACATTTAGATTGAAACACAAGCAACAGTGATATTTTCCGGTCACAGGTATAGACTGTAATCAAGTCTTCGAATTTTGAATTCCACCTCCGGATAACTCTATTAGACTGTTGCTAATGGTTGTTGTTGAGTCTTCCAGTCTGACTCTGAGTTCCTTTATCACAAGAAGGAAAGCGACATAAAAACAAAAAAGCCAAGAAACTTTTTCAAAATGTATTCAGGGGCAAATATGTAATTTATTTATTTTTTGCTGATGTGAACGGCAAGTACACAAGCATGATTGACAGCACTAAGACCCTCCTCCTGGCTCTGATTGGTTGTTTCTGACTGAGGCAGAGAAGTTCTATTTTTATTCTCTTTTTCTTTTCCACATATAATCGTTTATGTTTTATAGACGATCTATAAGACATGATACAACATTAATCAAATGTCAAGACGTTTAATAAATACGCAAACAAATATTTTGAAAGAAAACATTGTCAGAAAACACGTTTTCACAAAGAATAGTTAGTGCAGTAAATGTATTCTTTTGTAGCTCTCTGCCAGCCAGTCCAGCAAAAATATTAGCATGGGTTGCAGGTATAATTTGAGCGTGCTCAAGCTCTCCAAATGAGGGCATTATGTTATCAGCGGAAGGCCATTGACAGTTCAGACTTTCAAGGCTGGGGCTTGTTTTTGATTAAAGCTGGGGGCAGATAAGAGGTGGAGTTAAGATGTGTACGGTAGGAGTTGGCAGGAAGCGACAGCATCATACTGGGGGAGAGGTTTTCTAGAGATAAATGTCTCTGCTGTCGCTATATTCGCCTGAAGTCAACAACGCAAAGGAAAGAATTGTCCATTTGTCCAATGGAGGAGTCATTCACTCATGCAATCTGCTGTGTTCCTTAGGAAACGTTTTAATTTGACAAAAGAAAAGATCTTGATGTACTGTTTGGTGGTTGGGACCAATGAGAATCGACGCAAGTCTGCATTATGGTTATGGTTCTGTTTTGCGTGTGTGAAGTGCCTTCAAATGACATGCAACAAATTTATGAATGAACAAATAGAAATGAAACGAAATATTCTCAGCAGCAGAACGTGCCGTAGAACCAGACTGACAGGTTCAAAAGCAAAGCAGTCAAACCGTAAAGTGAAGCCTTTCTACTGAACAGGTCGGACGGTTCCGCTTTGAAAAGAACCAACAGACTGTGTGGATTATTAAGGATCTTTAATTATGAAACTGTGGTGTTTGTTTTGCTGCCTTTTCAATGAACCTCTGCGACAAGAATGAACTGAACGCTCTCCCAAAGAAAGTGCATACCTGAGGAAGAGTTTCCTCAAATGCTTCCTCTCACAAATGAAGTTTGAGCTCGGCTAATGCTTACTGTGCATTATAATACACTGACAAACAATTGTAGCAATTGATCAAAGAAATTTTAATAAAAAATGTTTTTATTATTCCTGTACCTTCTGCAGACTTTCTTACATTTGCTGTTGAATAAAAAATATATATACTGGATGACATTTATATACTGATTAACCAGAAAGGCGGAAGGACAGCGATTTCTGTTCGAAGTGTTATGCAAATAAAAATCTGAAAAGTGTGGCAGGCAGTTATGAATCTATGCAAATAAATATTCAGTCCAAATGTAGCTGTTCTGTGAATGGTCATTTTAGTGTGAAGTAGGGTGGTAGCAGCATCATGATGTGGCAAGGGCACAACCCTGAACATACATGGAGGGATTTCATTGAAAGCTCATCTGTCTACAGCAGTTTTTCTCCATTCTGGTCCTTGGTCCCCCTGCCCTGAATGTGTTTCCCTTCTGCTACACACCTGGATTGAATATGTGGGTGATCAACAGGCTTCTGCACCACATGATGGTGATGCAATCATTTGAATCAGCTGTTCTGGAATAGATGTGCACCTAAGACATGCAGAGCAGAGGGGCTGACGACTGGAATTGAGACGCGCCGGTCCAGTCAAAGCCCAAACCTAAACCCAACTGCTGATGCTGTTTTCATTCAATACATTTGGAGTACACGTGCAATAGTTCCGCTCAAACATTTCTTTGCCTTGATCTTTCACATTAAGATATCAAGATTTACTTTTTTTTTTCCTAATTTGGTCATATCAAACCAAACACCTTCTGACTTTTCAAAATGTTATTTATCAAAATGAATGCCATGCATATTATTTATTCTGCTTTCTGCAGACATATCTCGTGAAACAGTAATGAAACGTATCTATTTAATTAGCAAAATTGGCAAGAAAATACTTTTTATTGTTTGTTTTATTGTTTCCAATAAATCTGCATTGAAATGCTGTTCGGTAGCTGTGACATTCCTAAAAGGAAGAGGGGCCCCTAATCAAATTGTGCTCGGGGCCCCACGCAGCCTGAGGCCGGCCCTGCGAGCTCATGCCATAAATCATATTAACGCAGGCCTTTTGCCTCTCGTGGGTGTTACCCGCGTCCAGGGGGGCGTGTGCACGCGGAGGCGGGTACGTGTCGACGTCACCGCTCGCTCGCTCGCTCGCTCGCTTTCTGTCAAGAGTCAAAATAAAACGAAAAAAAAAAAAAAAAAAAACAAAACAAAAAAAACTTTTCTGTCGGGTCCCTCTCGTGCGAGAAGCCCCGAAAGCGACGACATGAGGCGGTGAGAGGAGCCACTGCTCTCCTTGTTCGCGGGACGCGCGGCGCTTGTCTTCGTGGCGGGGGAAGGAAGGCTGTGGAGCTGCTCCTCGGCTCATCCTGGGGGCCAGCCGGGCTGCTTTCAGTTGTAGCCGAGCCGCTAGCTAACGTCAAGTTGAAGGAAAGTGGAGAGAAGACGCCCACAACAACACCGGCGCTCGAACCTGGTGGGGGGGCTCTGTCCGCCAACTTGTGCCCTATGCGACGGCTAGCAGGTAAAGCAGACCTCGTTCCTCCGCTTCCACCGCTTTGCACCGATGTTTTCTGTCTGCATTTTGCCTCGGATTTTTCTTTTTGTCCTCCTTTTTATTCGCTGTCGCCAGCTCGCGCTTAACTCTCCGCACCTGATAACGGGGGGTCTGCTTGTTACAACTCGCTCTCCACCTGTCTGGGTTCAAGAGGGAGGGAGGGAGGCAACAACTAATAAATAAATAAACCAAGCTACGTGTCTTGTTGCCGACGCGTTCCTCGCCAAAACTCGCCATTTTCTCGGCTGCCTGCAACGCTTTTTGTTGCTCGCTTGCATCCAAAGAGCGGCGCGCGCTGAGCGTCTGCAGACTATCTCGCCCCTGCTGCACGTCCCCGGACTGCGCGAGCCGCTCCACGGTGTGTGCAGGTCCCTCCACACCGTGGAGGAGGGAGGTGGAGGTATTGTTATAGGGTCTGTGTGCGAGATGCGCCGATCAGCCGTGATGCATCAGTATTCATGTCAGGATCCAGCATGCTGGAGGAGAACGGTGCGATCAGGCTTCTGCGGGGAGAGAGAGGAGGAGGAGGAAGAGCAGAAGGAGGTGGTGGTGGTGGTGGGGGGTTATTGTGCAAGTCCAAGCCCAGAGGTTTGGTGTAGCAATGCGGTAGACTGGGGATCGGTTTGGATTTCCACGCAAACAGAGTCGTGGGGGTAGAAGTGATGGTGGTGGTGGTGGGAGGGAAATTGAAGCGCTATTATTTATGTTTGGTCGAGACGTCCGTGGGGGGCTGAGAGGGGGTGTCACGGTTTGCTGACAGCAGCAGGATGGTCCTGCGGAAGAAGGTCAGGAGTGGATGACAGAGCGGTCTCTCCTGTTCCGGGGGCCGCGAGCCGCAGTGAGGAGGCTCCGCGGGCCGTCTCCTCTCTTCCCACTGGGCGGGATATGAACCAGCCTGCCAGGTGAAGGATGCTGAATTATTCAGGCACGAGCTGCATATAATACATGTGGGGAGTAATGGGCTCACTGGGTGTTGTGGAGCTTTTCCTCTGCTTCGTTGCAGAACCTGATAGTTTGTTGTTTTTAATAATGATGATTTGCACTGCTTAAAAAGCCTTTGATCAGTGTGTTTAGTCCTGGTGACTTCAAATAGGAGCGGGCGATACGGACTAAAGAGTTTTATCACGATATTTTGTGGTACTATTGTGATAACGATAAAAGTGACTATAAGAACTACTCAAGCAACTTTAGGTAGGGCTGTGACTGACTGGCACAATAATCATTGCGCCACAAACAAATACTGCTCTTGAAAAACGATCATGTTTGTAATGTGCTTCTTTAGGACACTGGTCACAAACAGAAGTGTGATTTATGTCACTAAAATGCACAGAGTAACTGTATTTAGTCATCTTTTCAAATGTATTGATATTTATTGAACAAGCAGTGGAGAAAATGGCAGAACTAACCGACATCAGTAATTGGAATTTATTGTGTCAAAAATAACTTATTGTGATGAGACACTTATTACGATAAACAATACGATAAATGTCCATTAAGTAAAATAAAATAGTCAGCTGGAACTACGTAGAACAAGATCGAAACTCCTGATTTTTGGAGTGTAACTTAGACCAGCCATATTTGAAAAATGTAACCTTGTCAAGTAAGGACAGTTTGAGAGTTTTAGTACCTTATTTGTTTTTCTTTAAACAATAACTAAATAAACAAACCCAAAGACTATCAGCTTTAGTGCATTGTTTCCCCAAAACTACTCTTAAGAACCACAGGCCTGGTTCAAGTTGAATTTAAAGTTGTCCAGAAGAAAAGTTTGTAGGAATCCTGTGTGTGGTAGACCAACACAGGATAGATCTTAAATGTCAAATGAAAGGAGCCTAATTTTTTATTTATTTCTTTTTTGAAAACCGACATGAAAAGTGTGGCATGTATTTTTGTTCTCCCCCTTTAGCAATACCTAAATAAATAAAAATCTTCACAAATAAGGTTTAAAACCACGCGATAAACATTCTTCACTGTCTTAGCACTACCACAGAAGCTAACATCAACAGTCTTCTTTATTTCCCGTCTTGGTGTACAATCAATCAGTGCCAAGAAAAATAAATGGAGCTCTTGGATCGGCTACTTTGCAAACGCCGCGAAAGTCTTGTATAATATTTGCCATGAGCCATGTAGGAGACAGCAAACATGTTGAAAAAGGTGCTACGGTCAGACGAGACCTAATCGAACCTTTTGGCCAGTGTGGATTACTTTGTGTTGGTCTATGACATAAAATCCCAGTAAAATGTAAGGATGTCTTTGGCTTTCTGAACTGTTCTCCAAATCACTGTAGATGTGTGTACATTACATACCCAAGGTGTCATGTGCGGCTTGGTGGTTAACCCACTTAGATTGCTGTGCAAACAGAATAATTCCACATATCGGTACCGTATCAGATTTCCACTGCTTTCTGCCGACTCTCAGTAACCTTTGTCTTGCACAATGTAATCTTGCCAGCAGTAATTAGCGTTTGCATAACTCACATAATTCTCTGGATTTAATCAGAAGTTCAGGGTATAGAGCAGGTGACGGTCCAGACTGGCGCTGACGCAGGAGCTCGCAACAGATAATAACACCGGACGCAGGCGAAAGCTCATAATTAGCCTTTACCTGTAGTAACCTGTACTTTCCTAACTTTACAGCCTCTTCTGCTTCCTGCCTTTTGTTCAGTTAGAGTTTTACTTTACAACAAACCCAAGAACAGAAAGCAGAAAAAAAAAATTACCATTCAGATGATGAGGATTTTGTTCAATAAATAAATGTCAAAATGAAAAAAAGTTTCCAGCGGTGTCCATATATTCATCGGCTAACACAAGTTAAGGACTGCTGTGTTTTTGGGAAGCAGAGCTGAGAGGAAGTCGACTTGACGCGTCTGGCGAATCAATAGTTTTGTTCTTGAACATAAGCAGCTGTAGAAAACTGATGAGAGCACGGTGTCAGTGTTAGGGAGCAGAGGATCAATAACCTCCACCACTATCCTTTCAAAAACATCAAAGTTCACAAGATCAAGCGCTGTCCTCTCAGTGCGTCTTTTGGTGTTTGTCTTAATTTTGCAAAGACAAACATCCAGTTTGTTGACCTCAGTGAAGGGAACCAGATTTCCCAAAAGGAGTCAGAGTGCTGATGAGCAAAAACTCTGTGGTGTGCAGTTCATGTGGAGACAATTCACTGGCGGAGTGATCAAAATCAAATTAGCTCATTGCAGAGAGAGCTTTTTTTTTGTTTGTTTACTCCAAACAGAGAAAAGAGTTACTTTACGACAAAAAAAATGCATTGAACCCAGTAGAAGTCACTTTTCAAACGAGCTGTTCACTGATTGTTACAAAAGAAGGATAGAAGTGCTTTAAATTACCTTTGAACTGTTGCACAAAAGAAGTTTATTTATTATCCAGAAGTCTGTATTATGTAGCGAACTGATCGATCGGCACCGATTTTCTTCATTTTGAGTGATCAGCCGATGACTACGTCAAATGACAAACCACACAATTTATCAAATCGCAATATGTACAATATCATAATAGCAAAATGGCTCACATGGAATATTTGTCGGGGTGCTTTAATGAAGGCGCCTTACATTCACACTCTGCATGTGAACAATGTACTTGGCCTGTTGGATGATCTCCAACCGTTCTTGATGTCAACACCTCATGTATATTTATAGTAGTCGGGTTGCTAAAGCTGATGGTGAGCAATCTGGACACAGAATAAGAAAAGTGTGGTTTGACACCGTAGTATCACTTGTTCATATGTGTGTAAAATTCGTATGCCGTAATAATTCAATTTTAAAAAACCTTATATTTAGCTCCTAGGGAAATTAAATGTCATAACATTCAAGTGTCTCCAAAGAGTTGTCCTACGATGACCATCCAGAGTAAAATGTCTTGGATGACACTGTCAGTTGCAAGCTAGCAGTGCTTATCCACCTAATTTGCTTTTGGTTCTCCCCCTTATTTCTCTGTCTGGCCGTATTGAGATGCTAATCGGCTGCTCTCAGTTGTAAAAATTTGATCTTGTTGCCATGATTGTACATCATAACTTTTATAAATAAAAGCAAAAATTCTTCCAGCTGCACAACATACAAAACCAGAGGGAATAAATGTCCCAAAATGCAATGCTCCAACCAAAAAAAAGAAAAAAGGCGACGAAAAATCTATAACATAGTAAATTAAAGCTAATGTATCAGAGATACTGAAACATGTATTCTAAAATAGTTGTTCAATAAGCAAAGCTAACCATTGCAAAAGTCTTTTAGTTGAACATAATTTTTTTTATGGCTGTAAAAACTGACTTGGTGCAATGGGAATGTTTTGATGGGAGACAAACAGTCAAAGTCTCAGCTTCAATGTAAAAGCATAACCTACCTGCACGGTTTCAACCCAAATCTGTAGTAAATCTAACATTTGGAGAAGGCGCTTGTAGGAAAATCTGCATGATTAGATACCGTTACGGTTGTCTAAATGCTAACAGAGCTAGCACAGGCTACAAACGGCGCAATCGTCACACAAGACGGGAATTTGATCCGTTTTCCAACCATAACCCAGCAAGCTCGATGGTAATTCCAGCAACCTTTGATGTATTTATTGTTAGTAGATGTGTACTCTCACAGTATGTTTGCCTTTTGTAACTCGACTCTTTACATACATTAGAGCCGAGATAAAGAATACCGACTAGGCAGTATTTCACAACAAATGATACACAGGAAGTATACATGAGTACCGTGTTTTTTTTTTTTTTTCTTTGGAGGTTTGGAGTGAGGTGAATGACTTGAAGCTGTTCCAGCTCTACAAATTTTGGGTTTTATTAGCGTCTATACTCCATTTTGAAAGAAATTTGCTGACAAATAGCCACCAAAGGTGGCAAAACATGCACATTGCCTCGTAAAAGTCTTCATACCTCTTGACGTTTTTCACATTTTGCACAAATTACAGCCACAAACTTGGATGTTTGTATGTAGACTTATAAAGTCGGATGTACAAGTGCATTTAGAATCATCTTTTGTTGCAAGCTGCAGGACTAGACCTAAACCGCCTAAGTGTAAGTAGAGACGGAAATATTGACCCATTCTTCCTTGCAAAATTTTAGCAAATTTCAAATTTTATTTTGAATTATCTGTTCTACTCCCAATCGCATCAAATGAGCAAATTTAAAGTTGTGGTGTTTTTCACTCGTTTTGACCAAGCCTGCAAAGCAACCAGGGAATGTGAGAGTTCTGTACGGGGGCAGAGGTATCAAATAAATTTGTAATGATGTTTGTGTTTCAGAATAGGAAGCGTTTTAAGTCAATTCAGCGTGTTTTTCTGTTTTGGATCGATATCGGCCGATGTTGGACCTCAGATATCTGTATCAGTATCGGATACAGTGGGTCGGTGCATCCCTACTCTGACAGATGCATTTCATACTTTACTCCTCAGAGTACGAGTACAGTACAAGCCAAATCTTTCTGGAGATTTAATTGTTAAAAGTTTCTCTATTCTGCTCCTGACCGTGTCCTAAAAGCCTTTTTAATTGTAATGTGGCGAAATGCCCGAGTCATATGAACACTGTTTAGCAAGGCGCTGTAATGACCAGCTGATTTAAATAAAAAAAAAATAGACTGTAGGAATAACGAGCTGCATTGTTGAAGTAAACTCGTTTTGAAAACTGCTTGTGCCTCATAAGCTTCATCACCCGTTGCTTCATTTAAAAAAAACAAAATCCTCTTTTCTTTGCATGCAGAGTCTTTGTTTTCTTCTCAGGGATTGTTTTTTGGTGGGTTCCTGGTAATCCGCTTGCAGAATACGCATAATGGAGACCTTTTATTCCAAATTCAGCTCCTGTGCTGCCTACTGTATTCAGACTCATTTTCCTATAGATTCTGTCAGTCTTTTCCTTCTGCTTCCCTTTACTCTGCTGTTTGTTTCGTCTGTAAAGCGAGGCTCAGCTAAAGCTCGCCTGTCACTTGCATTAGACGGCGTTTGTTCTCAGTTTATCTATTTTCCCCTCTGTCTCTTTCCTCTTCCTGTTCGGTTTGGGCGACTTGATGAATATGCAGCCTCCCACCGCCACTGTCACATTGGTTTCCTCCGTCTCCGCCGCCGCCGTCCGGGATGACTGACAGTGATCGACCCAACCTGTCCGTGTGGATCACTCACTCCATGTCCCTGTCCCTTCCTGCCCCCCCTCTCTGTTGTGTTTAGGTGAGTGATGGAGATGAGAGAGTTGAGCGTAGTGGCTGGCAGCTTCGTGGGCTTCCAGTTTCTCTTCTCGGTGGCCAGTCCGCGGCTCTCGCTGGCCGTCGCTACGGGTTACAAACAGCTACCTCCCACCAAGCTCACCGAATGGAACTCCAGGTGCGTAGGAACGAAAACCTTACACCGTGAACACATTTATCTTTTGCCTGTCCATTTTGGCGTAATAATAAATAATGCTACGCCAATTAATCACATGATAAATTGAAGCGAGCTCAGTAATTTCCATCTGCTTGATCTTTCTCTTTTCGCTCTTTCTACCAAAGCACTGGATAATAACAGGCTTCAGTCTAGTGCTTTAGGCTCAACTAGTTTTTGAAGGATAATTTTGTTTACAGAGACTTAATAATGAATTTAAGTTGTTTTTTGTTGTTGTTTTGTTTCATTTATTTTACAAAATTAAAATGTCGTCCAGTTCCTGTTTCAAATGTTCATTATAATTTAAAGTTACTTGATCTTTGAGAAAGTGTTCTTGCGTTATCATTCCATCACCGTTATATTTCTTTAAAATAATCTCAAAACAACGCTATTATCGTTTATTGCAATCATTTCTGAGATAATTTATTGTCAAACAAAATTTATTGTGACAGACTGAATTGCAGTCGTAAAATACAATATAAACAAGGTTACAATTTTTTGATTAGATTTTTTTATTTTATTTTTGAGATTCATGGAATCTTAAGTGAGAACCTGTCATAAAGCAAAAATATTCTCTTTTTTTCCTTTTATTTTTGCTTACAGACTAACCATTTCCTGCTTAAGGTCATTTAGTATTGCCAAAGTTTCTTCTATTTTCTAAATCCCAGAATCAACTAATTGCCTGATCAATTGATGCAGACTTTTCACAGTAAAATAACAATAGTAAAAAAAAAAGAAAAATCTGAAAAGCACGCTCATTGGAGTTTTTACACGTGTTTAAATAAATAAATTAATTTGTTCGGGCATCTGCAAGTTGTACACAAGGCTGAATCATATTTTTGATGAGCCATAATCCAAACTTCCTGATATTTTGTGATCTCCCTGTGATGTCACACAAGGAAGCAGCATGTTTGTTGACACAAGTCTCACATCCGTCCTGAATTGAAGAATGGCTGGTCACTCCCATGCTGCTTATGCTTTTTTATATAGTTGTTTGAACAGATGGCCGCTGTATTTACAGCCATCTGGAAAGTGTACTGGAAAAGGAACTAAACTTCTACAGTACACTTTTTTCTTTTTTTTTTTGTTATGACAGACCAGGAAGCAGCGTGTTTAAGGTACAGCTTTTGAATTCACCCACAGCGGTTCCTCATCAACCCAACTTACTAAAACCATGACATCATCATCTGGGGTTTCCCAAATGGTTTAACAAGAGGAATAACAAAATAGGAAACATTTAATCTAACAAAAGGTCAGACGATAAAAGGAAATTAAGCCTATTTGTCTTTTTATAGTCAAAAATTATCAAAACCAAAGGAGGATATATGATCATTTGGTTCAGCAATAATGCAGTTATAGATACTACAATTTAGTGGAGTTATAATTTTGAGTAAAAATATCTGCGATCTGCTTTCTAGATATGAAACTTGTAGGTATTGTTGTTTTCAGTTTCCACTTTGTAGAAATCTGTGCTGGCTGACAGTCTGGGCACTGCAGCTAACAAATGCAACTCCAATCCAATTTTCTTTGTGCCGATATTCAACTTTTTCATGGCAGTCTGACCGGCTCATTTCGAATTTTTTCACCCCAAAAATTGGATTTGTGTCACTTCCATATGCGGTACTAAGTGAAATGAATACATGACAGTTTTCAAAGCAACTGCTGTGTTAACCGTCATGTCGAATCTCATCCAGCTTTTATGTTGCGGATGTGAAACATCCATCACAATTCTGCCACAGAAGAATCCTGACTTGGTAAATCCGGACGTAAACTATGGCTAAAATTTATAATTACGAAATTATGAAATAAATTTGTGTCAGTGAAGTGCATCACATCACAGTCCCACCACTCTGGGCTCTGACCACACCAAACAAACTTCTCTACAGAAGTTGCAGTCAATGCTCCACAAAAGGCTGTTACTGGCAGTTGTGGTTTTCTTAGCTTCCTTCATCTTGTTATGATCTTGTGATGTTACTGTCAGCTCCCATTGCTGAATAAACATTAAAATTGATCCACAGGCGGCGGCTATTTTTACTTCCATAAACCGTGCGACTCTGTGTAATGTCTACGTTCTTCACAGAGAGAAGTTGGATTTCAGCAAAGAGTATCTTCACTCTTTTCAAACAATAGCTCTCTCAAAATATCTTGAAGGCTTCGACAGTCCGCTAATGTTTCCAGTCGACCAATCAAACTGCTGCTTCAGTTTTTCTAGCTTCCTCCCAACAAAGAGTTTACATACAGCGGTCGCGAGGGACAAACATTTATGCCAAGTCCTCACTGTATAGAGTTACAGTGAAAGGACATCCTCACCAAACTGACCCCTGAGCGTTGCTGATATTGACGCTGTCGTGAGTCGGGTCCAGTCGTGATTGAAGCAAACTCATCGTCCTGCACATGTGCGCCGCAGTGGGAGGCTTAATGTTTCAAGTGGAAACCCCATGGTTATGGTTCAGAGGGCAACTGTCTGTTGTGCAACTTTTTTTTTTTGCCCCCGCTGACCCCGATGCGTGCGTCTTCTCGGCCCGTTTGTTTGCCGTCAGCCCCGCTCCCTTTCATTTGCCCAGCCGTGGCTGGCATCAGTTTTGTTTGACCCTAGGAGAAAGAACGGAGTGCCTCGGCCAAGTAGTCCCAAACAAGTTGGAGGCAAAGCATCTACTAATGGCTTCGCTTCAGAGTGCTTCGCCGTTGCATAAGACCCAGCTCCGAGTGTGTCAGTGTTGGTTGCGTAAGAGTGACTTAAGTGCAAGGAGACAAGTGTGAAAGTATCTCCGAAGAGGAAGAACAGAATGTTTTAGTAAAGTTAAGAAAAGTGCAGAGTTTTCAATCAACAAAAGGATTCACACGTCTTCCTGTTTTCACATTTTATGACGATGGGGATTTTATGATAGTGCAGTGCTTATTTGTGTTTAGCACTTGACAAAGAGATGAACAACAACATAAAAGTAAAATGTTATAGACAGAATCCCTTAATACAATGGTTTAAATTAGGGCTGTGAACAATTATATTAGTAATTGAGTAAGCTATCGTTTATTTTGATTTGTAATTGAATATGAAAATTTTCTCCTTCTGCAGTAGATACTTAAGCTAATAAAAAAAAGAGAGAAAACACTTGTAAATAAACAATTCAGTTCCTTTTTTTTAATAAGAAAACATGTTATCACTTAAAATACAATTTGAACAAACCTCACTTTATCTGAAGTTTGTTCTTAAATGACAAAAGCAAATTTCTTCTATGTCTTATTTGATTTATACAGCATTGTTATAACAACTGAAGGTAACATAGTTTCTTGGTCGTACTATGAAATGGCACTATGTGCCTGGAAAATGAATAATGTTGCCCCTGTAAATGAAGAATCTACAGAATGTGGCAATTTTGGTTTGATTAATTGTCAGAATAATCTTTAGCGTTATGAATTACTAAAATAATTGTGAGTTGCAGACCTGCTCCAACTGTAACACTTGCAGTTGACAATTTTAAAACGTGTTTGAAAGGCACCACAAGCCGCTGCTCTTCTATCAGCGCTCTCAGAAGCCGCATGGTTAGCTGACTGTAGAGCCAGCTTGGGCCAACATCTGCAGCCTGTGGACGGTCCCAAAGCCTGAACAGTGATAGTGCAAGAATTGTGATCCTGGTAACAGGGAGATAAGAGCTGCTGGCTCTCAGGAGTTCTTCTGTGACCCAGATAACCACTCCAAAGGTCAGAGGAGAGGCTCTCTCAGGCCTAATTTAACACACACGCATAATTTAAATGTCCCCGTAGGCACAAATGGCTATTTATCAAGTCAAACTAAAGCTTCCTCATTATGTGGACAAAACTCGTGGTCATCTTGTGTGTGTGTGTGTACTGTCAATCCCCAGGTTGGTGTCCACTGTGCACGCCTTGATCGTGGGGCTTTTCTGTTTGTACATCCTGTGGTTCGACGACGCCGTCAACGCCAACCCCGTCTGGTAAGACTTCTGGAAATTCCTCTGCCTCGTTATTTTAAAATGCAGCTGAAGCACAAACCCTATCAGGGCGGGATGGGGAAAAAAAAAAAGGGAACGGTTTCTTTCGTTTTCAAGTATCAGACTGGCAGGGGATCAAGAATTTGAAGCTGAAAAATGGTGGAGGATAGACTGAGTTGAAATGTAATACCTTCTGGGCTGACAAAGATGGCGTTCATTTCTTTTAGACAGGCAGAGAGAGAAGAGGAGAGAGCAGATCTAACATGTCAGAGGAGTCTCCAGTGGGTTGTAGATTCACTGGATTTGGCCTTTTATTCTCCGGTCTGTTTCTTCCCCTCTCTCCGCTGCAACTTTTTTTTTCCTCCACTTGCACAAATTGTTACCCTCCCAGCTCCTCTTTTTTTATTATTATTATTATATCCATCTTCTAGATATTTTTTTTCTTGTTTTTGATTTTTTTTGTCTTAGCGCTCCTACAGCACTCCTTCCTTCTTCTGATTTCTAGAGTCTGTTTCACTTCCTCTAGCTGTCCTTTAGAAATAAACCCAACCAGAAAGATTCCTTTTCATAGCTGTGGAACGGCAGCCTGCCTCATCCAGCCCCGATCAGCGTCCTCCTGCTTTCAGCTGCCCGTTGTACCCCACGTCTCTGGCTGAAGGCACGCCTCACTTGTGTTCAGTGTCTCCTTTGGTGATGGAGCAGGGAAGTGGAAGTTGGGATCAGGTTGAAGTGGGGGACTTGGGGTTATGAGTAAGGAGAAAAGATGGAGGCTCACTCGCCTCTGTTCTCCTTGTTGCAGAGTTTCTGTTCAGGTTCTCGGTGGTTCACCCCACTAATGGACTGTTCTGTTGCACAATTCCCTTTGCTTTGTTTCCATAACCTGTTTTGTTCTTTTTGTTTCTTCCACTGCCTTGCAAATGTATTCACACACTGTACAAAAGAAAACATTTTGTCACATGACCTTAAACGTGTTTTTTGTTTGTTTTTGTTTTTTTAGCTACTTTTGCTGGCAGTTATGCATGAGGGATTAGCATGTTTTTGGTCCTTTTTTATTTTTTGCGAAAAAAAAAGAAACAGTCAAATTGGAGTGAGAGCCTCAAGATAGCTTTACAATTCACATCTGTACTTTGTCCCATTCTAACATATGCTAGTACTTTAATCTAAACCAGGAATGCACCGATTGCAGTTTTCTGACTAATCTCTAAAAAGCCTGACTTGCCAATTCCGGTTGACACAAAAAATATTTTTGTCTGAAGAGTTGCTAAGTATAGTGACAAAGTTTTTAAGTTGGCAACAGTGGGGTGATTATTGCTAACCACTGTTGCACTCATATGCTGGTGGATAGTTCTCTGTCAACCGTCTCTTACAAATGGAAACAGTGACTGATTTTCAGACATTTACAGATGTAGTGAAGATCAGTGGATAAAAGCTTTTTCTCATAGACGTATCGACTGATCGCCCAAATTTGTCCCGATTTATCAGTACACTCCTAACCAGCATATTGACTATTTTGTTCAGAGGTCAGAAGGGCTTGTTACCATCACCCTAATCTCTAGCTCCCTCCATAAAGTTTCTAGATTAAAGTGAACAATTTCTTCTCCCAACCACTAATGTTCCTTTCACGCCAAAGAAAAATAAGTCACTTTAAAGCTAGATCTCTCAGGTGTGTAAGTAATGTGGAGAACAACTGAAAATACTTTCCCATGGCACTGTGAATATATTTGTTTATTCCTTCACTCCTCTTTTCTCAGCTCATCCTTTCCACCCTCTAGAATTAACCCGACCCACCGCATGATCCTAATGGGTTTAAGGCTAACCTCCTGGCCGCTCTGCTATTCTGCATGCATGAACTCTCCAGTCAGCCCGATTGTGTCGCAACTTTAAGACACGTCAAGCTGCAGCGCCGTCCTCTGCTGGCTTCAGAGGCCCGAGCCAAACTGTCAGACGCCCACATTGTTTTGTAGCCGGCTCAAGCTCTTATCATAATTCGTCAAGTAAACACAAAGCAACTCTGACGGCCTCGCCTGGGCTGCCTATCTTGAATGGACTTGAACTCAGTAGGTGTGTGCAGCGTGTTGTAGACGTGGTGAGGCTTCAGGGTTAAAGACATTGGACCACATATAAGCTTTCAGAAGTTATGGAGACTCAGCTGTTGGAACCTCACCAAAGAAATTTCTAGGAATTGAACTGAGATGTTGTGTGTGTTGCTTAGCAGCAGTGAAGCTGATGGCATTGCCAACAATCCACAGCAGCTACCAAAATAGTTGAACCCGACCAGCAGATTATTTAAACCTAATGTCACATCCAAGTTCCCACTGTCTGCAGACACAGTCTCCACATGTTCTGATGGTGTTAGAATCCAGAATATGTTTCTGCAGCCAGATGTTGGTGGCACGTATGTTACCTCAAGTTACTTTTTTTAAGCCAATCCCTGACTAAGGTTAAGTTTACACAGCAGGCAAATGCAACCCAAATCTATTTTTTTGTCTGCCTTTTTGTCCAAATCCAATCCATATCCAACTTTTTCATGACAGCCTGAATGACTCAATTCAGATCATTTGACCCCCAAAATATCCAGTCTGCTCCACGTCCATTTACAATCGAATGCGTATCCAACAGTCTGAACGGTCATGTCCCATTTCGTCCAGCTTTCGTGTTCGGATTTATACCTGAACGTAAATAATGGCTGAAAGTTCTAATTCTAATTTGCTAATTAGAATTTGCTATGTGGAGGCATTTGTTATAATTATATAATTATAATTTGTTCTGACCATCTCACACTTTTCTTAGTGAGATGGTTAATCAGCGTCAATTTTTTAGTTTCACTCTAAAACTACACTTCCAGTCTTGTCCCTCCATATTGCACCACTGATAAATTTGCGATTGTATTTGTACCACCAACCTGAGTGTCCAATGAGACTGAGCCCTGGCTCAACCTTAGAGGTGGGGTGTGGAGGCATCCTGTGGGAGTTCAGAGCAGAGCTGCTGCTCCTCTGGATCAGGAGTTAGTTGATATGGTTCTGGCTTCTGATTGGACTGAATAGGACGTTTTCTGTACCACAAGGAGAAGACTCCTGGGAAGAGATCATATAAATTCGCTCTGGCATGGGAAGAGGTTGTGGTCCCCCAGAATGAGCTGGAGAGTACAACAGGCTGCTACGATCTAATAGAGGAACTCAATCTTTCTGACATATAGTCTGATACACTGATTGAGTTTTGTAGAATCCTAATCAATATTTAAAAACAACAACACATCTGTTTATAAGATGGTTCCCTACAGGAAACAGTATCCTAGACTGTTTCCTGTCTAGAATACCTATTCACTCTACTCTTGCATAACCGCCTGCAAAAGTAGCTCAAACTTTCCAGTATGGACATCTGGAATTGTCAGAAATATGTCCGATTGTAGATCACACACACAGTCTGAACACAGCTAACGTAAGGTTCTTTGAGACGATGCTGTCATGACCCTCCAAACATAAAAGGTATCCATGTCTGCTGTATTCCAGTCAGTTATTCATGTATTGAATTAGAAACGCAGGTTTACTGTACATTTGATTAACTGCAGCTGAATCACATTGATGTGATTATGGAAAAGACTTTGGACTCTGTGGCGGCAGCAGCCTGCAGGACCCCTGATTGTTTCACCACCGTTCAGATTGGGTTCTGGTCAACCTGATCTTTGTTCAATGTGTCTAAGTGCAAGTGCAGTAAGGCGATACAGCAGATTGGTTAACGGGAGGAGCTCAGGGCTGAAATGGCCGTTAATGGAATGTGAGCAAAAGAGAAAATGCTGAATGATTCAATATCTGCGACCAAAATGTGATAAAACTGCATACTATGGTGCGGGGAAAGAAACCGTTCATGCTTTGTGCCTACTGTAGTGGGCAGCTATCCAAAACATTAAGACACTGTGTCCAATATTGACTGTAAATACGCAGTGCACTGCCACCTTCTGGCCAACTAGTGTAAACACATAAAAAAAACATCTTAAAACTAGTGCTGCACAACGTAATGAACTGCAATCACTGCAATATCAGTGTGAGCAGAAAAACTGCAAAGGACTGATTTTATGTTGTAATAGCATCATGCTTGTTTTAAGTCTAATGCATTCAATTTTGAAAATCAATGGTGTATTGAGAAAGTTGGATGGATTCTAATTGCTCCTGATGGACCACTCGATGTCTATTTTTCAAAAGTTCGTGGAGACTGATGGGGACATTGTGTGAAGAAAAACCAGTGAGAGTTAATCGCAGCTGTTATTCCAAATTTCAGCGAGACCGAAGACCGAAATTTGCAAAACATTGTCCTCATCTTTTACAGTCGTAGTTTGCAGTCTGTTTAAGGTCCGTACACACGGAGACGACGGTGGTAAATTTTTGTAAACTGTTGAAATGAACGCTGAAAGCTCAGTAGTAGGCATGCCGGGCCAATCGGTGGCGCTGTGACACTGCCACAGAGTGACACAAAAAACAAACACCGGACGTGGGATAGAGAGAGAGAGAGAAAGAGAGGTGTAACGGTGTCATCTTTTAATAATAATGATAATAATAATAATAATAATAATAAAAGAAACAAAACAACTCAGTGTAAACGTGAAGCATTCATTTAAAAATGTGTCCACTCTGGGACCTCGTTTTAAAAATGATCATTTCTGGTCTCCTAAAAAGGAGTCAAGACGACAAAAAAATAATGGGAGTGAAAGGGACATAAAATATCAGAGACCTAGAAAACAATATTGTATTAGTCCTTCTTTAGTATGGTCCTTGGTTGATAGTTGTTGCTCCCAATATTTTTGCCTAGTAGTGTTTAGAAGTTTCACATTTATGTTGGGAAGAATATGCGATTGCGTTAAAGTGGAGGTCATCTGTCCAGCCAATCTGAGCCAACAGAATAGTTACCACCCACAACTGATTAATTTGCCCACTAAACAGAGTTCATGCTCAATTTTCTAGCAAATGCGCTCTCAATTAATAAATATGATTTCTTAATAAGCTCTGGGCTTATGGCCGAAACATGACTCCTGGTATTAATGCAGCTACTTGTACTAACATGCTATAAATATGTCTGTGACGACTGATTACAATTATACCTCCGAGTTTGTTTGTTTTTTTTATGCCCGGGAACGTATGAAGAGTATAGAACAAGAACTGAATAAGAGATTAGTGGTCACTAATGCAAGGGTGAAAGATGACAGGAAAATCATGGCTGACCTCATCATGATCCATGATAGTGGACACTCAGCTGTGTTTAGGTTAAGGTCTGTACTGAGTTAGGTAGTCATTGCTATGTCCCTACATGACAACTGAATAGGGTTTCCCCCAGAAAACCTGCTAAGTTTGATGGTAGGGGGCGCTAGCGCAGACCACAAGTGGCCCACCGTGTTTTTGTGGTGAAAAATGTTAAAAGTTACAAAAATTTGGAGGCGCATGAGCAGACATTAGAATTTGGAAATAATGGCGTGTGAGGCCAACTGGCAGAGATGGCGCAAATTAATGCATCAACTATAAATCTATTAATTCATCTTTTCTGTCACTGTTACTGGTGTATAAAAAAACTTGATTTAAAATAAACGACACTCAGCCTGGTGGAAGGGGTGAGGGGCTCGTAAGCCTGCCAGGCTTATAATAAACTGGAGGAGACCCTGACTGAGCATATGTGTGTGTGTTTGAGTGTTGGCCCCTTGTAGTGTGAATGTTCTTTTTTTACAGTACATGTGCAGTAATGTGAGGTCCTATTACAGGAACCGTCAGGCAGCCATGTGTCACACGATACCTGCGACTGATCCCACCATCACATGTAAACTGAAGCAAAGGCATGTCCTCCATTGTTGCTGTGACTCGACGTTATTCACAGACACTTAAAATCCTCCGTTATGATTTAATAGCCGGATCATAACGAGGACGTCTCTCCTCATCCCAGACGTTTTCCCATCAACATGTTGGTTTTAACCAACATAGCTACACACGGATAAGATATGATCTTGAATGACCACCAAGCATGAATGATAATGATTCTGTTAATTAGTCTTCAGATATATGCTGTGCATTTTTGATCCGAGCGCTCAGCTGCCCTACGAGTCAGCAGATCCCCCTCCTGGTTTGCTGACATTGATTGTAGTAACGTCCCAGTTGTACTGCAAGTACCTTTAAACTTTGTTTGCTGTTCCACAGGGGTGATCCTAATCTGGTCAAACTAAATGTAGCCATAACCTGTGGCTACCTCCTCTACGGTAAGCGCCTTCCTCGACCTCTGTTGATCATTTACCTTTGTGCCCGACCTAACGGGACGTGGCAGTCATCATTTTGTTAGTTTCCTTATCAATACTTTTGCAACTTACTTTAACTCTTCTAGCCTGTGTGGCTATCCTTTGAACCTCTTGTCACGTTACAACCAGATAGGTGGTTTTTCTTAATATCTTTAAATAAATAGAAATAAGAAAAGTGTGGTAAACTCCCTTCACCACATAATTTTAGACACTCTCTTTTTTTTATTTAACTGCTCAGCAATAAATTTACAAGCAGTATTTTAATAAAACCGAGTCAGTCTTGTATTTTATTTACTTATTTTGTCGGTTAAAAAACAAAAGTTTTAAGTGTCAACAAGAAAGGAATGAGTCAGTCTTTCCTTTGAATAAAAGCTTGCTATAATTGAGCAAGTTTAATTAATATACATGCCGAGATCTACTTTGCAGTGAAACTTGTTGGACGTAGGTGCTGCCTGCTTTTGTGAGATTATAATAGAAGAAGAAAAATATCTTCATATCTTATCGAAGCATGTTGCGGGGATACCACACGCAATAATGTTGTACCAAACCTTTTCTGTTTTAAGAAGACTGAAAATGTCTAGGAACCTTTCAGCCTAAAAATTACAAACTGTCCATCGGTATCAAATCCCTGTTCATCACAACATTCTTAAATCAAGAACCTGGTGTGCAGCTTTACCTCCATAACCATCAACATTCATCCAAAAATGCAATAGAATGGTCAAGGTATAATCACGTGTTTGAAAGGCCTAGTCAAAGTCAAAACCTAAATCTAATCCAATGAGTAGAGCGCCAGTTCTTTTGAAAATGAAAGTAAGCAAAAAATTACATCTCAAACAGAACAAGGCAAGTTAAGAAATACCTCAAACAGTAGTAGTGTTATGCTTTGCTTCAAAGGACTAAATATAAAATACATTATTTTAATTACTTTATTTACAACAAATTAAATAAACACACACCAAAATAATTTCCAGTTTTTAGCTGTAATGTGACAAAATGTATGTTTGTTCCCTTTGTTATACCCAGAGAAATAATTACCGCTCATTGTATGCCCGTTAACCCAAACATTTATTAAACTATTTACAATTTAATATTGAGGCATTTTTCAACCTCAAAATGTCCTTTTGATCATAATCTTAGTAGTTCTTCCACCTTCACCTCTCGTCCGCAGATCTTTTCCTGCTAGCATGTAACTGGAGCACAATGGGGGACAGCTTTTTCGTCTGCCACCACTTGGCGGCGCTGTATGCCTATGGATACGTGTTGGTGAGAATGCCGTTCCCCAGGAGGAGAAAACCAGATTAAACTCTTTCCGTGTTTCTCCGACTAATGCATCCATCTGGCTTTTGCAGACACGTGGGGTGCTTCCTTATTTCGCCAATTTCCGTCTCATTTCAGAGCTGTCCACGCCGTTCGTGAACCAAAGGTGAGACGGCGTGTCAGGCAAATTCCTTCAAATTTACCTACAAAGTCTTGAGCTTTTCCAAATTTGTGATTAAGTTTGGGGTCAAATTGAAACCACAAACTTCAGTGCTTCATATTAGTTTTGTTTTTCAAGAGCAGTGAAGTTTTTGTGGCGTTATGATTCGTAACTTACCAATCATAGTATGTTACAAACATACCTAAAGTTTCCTGCAATAGAAGTACCAAGTAATTCTTATTGTCACTTTGATCTCTATCACAATAGCGCCACAAAATATCACGATGAAACTTCAAATGTCGCCTATCCTAATCTGTGACCCAACAGTGCTCAAGACGTGAACCTCTCTGTCCCTCAGGTGGTTCTACGAGGTGTTGAAGTATCCCCGCTCACACCGGCTGGTGGTGCTGAACGGCGTCGCCATGGCGGTGGTGTTCTTCGCCGTCCGCATCGCCGTCATGCCGTCCTACTGGGCGAGCGTCTTCGCCACGTTCGGCACGGCCGAGTTCGAGCGGCTGGGCCTGGGAGCGCAGGTGGCCTGGATCACGTCGTGCATCGCCCTGGACGTCCTCAACACCATCTGGATGTACAAGATCGCCCGCGGCTGCTACAAAGTCCTGACGGGGAGAGGCGGGCGGAAGGTCAAGGCCGACACGGACGAGAAGCACGCAACCAACCACACGGACTAACGTGGGGACAAAGAACCCTCGACCGCATGATGGACGCGGGGAGCGGAGGCGTTCCCAACCCGCCCGCCCGCCCCTCGGTCTCGGAGTCCTCAGGTTTCCGACGAGGAGAGCACTCTTTGACTCACGCAAGCACCAGCGATCCCAACCTCACTGTTTTTTGTTTTGTTTTGTTTGTCGCCCCTTTCTCCCCCAGTGAGCGTGATTACTCTACTGCTGGGAGGTAGCTTTCTTCGGTTGCAGACAACAAATTAGAGTTCACAAGCACACTTTTAGCACCATCTGTCACTCCCATCTCTCGCCGTTTCATCCCCAGCCTCCTCTTCAGCGCTCAACTTCAGCCAAAGCCTAATCCTCTGAAGTGCCTGTGGAAAAACAGGAAAGCAATAATAGTGGAGGTATAACAAAGTTGAGGTTTCTTTCCCCCCCCACATCCCTTCTACGTCCCATCATCACCACCTCCACCCCTCCCTTCAATGAACAGCTGGGAGCTCATGTCCTGTCCACGGCGGAAGAGATGTGGTCAACCTACAGGGCTCTTGTCTTAAATCCATCAAACCTCAGAACAAGAGACAGAAAAAAAAAACACCAGGATGCCTCTCCCAGTTTTTACCTGCTGTGGCCTCCTTATAATAAGTAGCGCCTCTCTGCGTCACCAGCCATGCTTCTCCATCCAAATCTCATTTAAGAACTCGACACTCTCCAGGATTTTTATTTTGTTTTGTTTTTTGCTGCTACGCCAATATCATTAGCTGTGACAGTACAACATCCATTACAACCCTCTGCCTCAGCTGGAATGTTTTTGTTCTACCTCTCCCCCCTGCCTTACAGACTTTGTAAATAATCATGATTTACTCAGAAGCGTAGTTTTTTTTTAACTAAGGAGAGAGTTTATCCGTGAAGATCGTGACATCGGAATCTCAGAGGGACTTCCCATTTCTTCCGGTCACCCCGGTCCATCCACCGAAACGCAGCGCCATCGCTCCGTGTCCTCAGAACGAATCATCAGTGCCTCTCTTTTCCGACTCCCATTTTTAGCTTCATTTTGTCGCGCTTCATCTATGAACCTCAATGTGTTTAATTGGGATTTTATGTGTGAGATCGACGTAAAAAAAAAAGCGTGCAAAAATTCAGTCGGATAGGGAAAATGAAATTAGGAATTTCACATTTTCTCACGTATAAACACCTAAAAAGTGTGATGTGCATGTCATTTCATTGCAGTTTCAACTGCAAGTCTTTGGAAATAATCTATGAATCTATTCCAGATCTCTGATGGAATTTTGTCTAACCCATTCAAACACATTTGTTTCCCCGCAACAATGTTTAAGCATTTTTGAAATTGAGGAATTCGCTACCAGTTCCCAAGAACACAAAGCACTTCATATCATCTCTCCACATTTTAGAGCCGCTACGTGTTGGCCTATCATTAAACAAAGTCATTCTGCAGTTGCGAGAGTCTTTAGGAAGAGTGGCGTGAAGACTTTTGCGAAGCATTTTGCAGGCTGATCCTGAGATCCGGTACCTTCCTGAAAGCATCACTGATTATTTGACAGAATGTCAGCAGTAGAGTTGCTTGAAATCTCTTTCTCATTTTTTATTTTTATTTTTTCCCTCCCTCTCACTCTCTGTCCATGACTCAGATTGATTTGGAAACGCCATGCTGCTAGAAGCGGCCCGGCATTCTGCATGCCCAGTTTTTCCCGTGGTATAAACTGTAGATCTTCATTGTAGAGCATGGTAAGACTGACATATTTCTGTGATGCCTTAGTGAACTGTCAAGGTAGATGAACACCATCGAATCGTGGGCTGGGCGGGAGTGGGGTAGGGGGAAGGGGCTGTCTTCCAAAATGTGCCCCCTCCCCACCCTTCTCCACCTCCTTCAACACAGAGCATAGTCAAAGCATGAACTTCTTGTACTTTTGATGATTTCTCCTTGCTGTGCATGTTACAGTATTTACACGTTCAGCATCTATGCAGGTGCCTTCTGCATAGCGGTAAACTCTCTAATTGTTAACACATCTTCTATATGCCAGTTGCCAGTACTTGTATTTTGTTTTGTTTTATTTTTTATAGATGCAGAGAGATTTCTTTGTAAGAGGTTTGCTAATAACCACAAACTGGCAGACAGAAACATGGGATCTCTCCGATTTAGTTTCACAAGAAGACGACGACAGGTATCGACATCATCACTCTTGGTCCGAGCCAAGGCTTCCTGTATAAGCACAAACCTTAACCAAATGCACCCCGGAAGCAGAACGACTGAATGTTTCTAACGTGCTTTGCTGTGGTAGAGTAGTTCATGAAGTGAACACAAGAGGGAGCAGCGAGATGGTCAAACCCTGCTTGTGTGAGATGAGATCTGTTTACTCCTGTTGTTCTAAAGTCTTTTTCACAAGTTCCATCACATGATCTGAACTTAGACATTTTTTTTTCACGTTTGTACTTATGTTTTAAAATAAACATGAAGTCACAATTAAGAGGGTGACCTCAAAATCCAATATGAAGTAAAAGAAAAGATATTTATTCAAACTTTTAAGTTTTTGTGTGTCAAGTTAGTTTCTCTCTCTCTCTCACACACAGGTAGTGATGTACAAGCGTCTTTTTGTGAGGACAGTGTTGGAAAGTTCAAAATACGGAGAAATGTAGTATTAGACACATGATTGTTTTATTTTTTCTTTTCAACAGTTTCTGATTTTTCAACTCACATTTTTGGTCAATTCAAAATTTGCCTGTCCTAACAATAGAATGAATGTCCAATAGCAAAATACAACATTTTCTTCTAAATAAATCCAAAATTAGAAAAAACAAAAAAGAACTGGGATATTGCCCAGGTTATGGCAGATTATATAGCTCATACTGCTTTCTTTTATTTGCTTTTCTTTCTCCTTTTTTATTTTTTTTATTTTTTTTTTTGCATCACTATCAGCTGTTCATGTTAGAACTAGAGACTCCGTTTCGTTCTCAACAGACGGAGCCTCCACAACTAAAGGGGATTTTTATTATTTAAAATCTAACGAATGATAACAGGGTCCCAGGGTTAAACTGTCTTTAGCCTCTTATATTCACAGTAGCACTAGCAGCCTCTGTGTGTATCATTAGACCTCTACCTTAACTGTGAAATTTCCCAAAAATGGCCGTTCATTTTTTTTTTTTTAGTCCAACACAATCGATGCAACTGGACTATTTAAAGGAATAAAAAGCACTTTCTGCTGTAATGCACACAGCTTCCAGACGTCCGACTCGGTCGACAGCCAGCTCCAATAAAAAAATAGTTTCCCTTCTTATGTGTGTAAAAGAGAAAACGTTTCCCTCGCCAGCTTCCTTGGATCTCTGATTGTTATTAGCTTGTAAAGCTGATAGCATTTAGAACGGTCGCCGTGAATCATCAGCGCGTTAACACTCTGGCACCGGGGCACAGTGGAGTTGAGTTTGATATTATTTCCAGATCCGAGAGGCAGCAACATGTAGCCAGCAGCTCTTGCTTCAGGCTCACTACTGTTTTTTTTTTGTTTGTTTTGTTTTTTTCTCTATTGCATTTCATTTCCCTTCCTTCAACTCCACTTTGCAAATAGTGATGCCGAACTCTGCTCTGGGCAAAGGGCAACCCGGGTAGCGCTTGAGCATTAGGCTCACGTTTTCGACAGTCATTTTCAAACCGAGCTTGACTTTCTTTGCCGTTTATTGACCCTGAAACAAGAATTGATGTGACCTGTTCGGTTCATTCAAACATTCACGGCACCACTCAACTCCACACATTGCAAAAGTCGCCTGTGTAAACGTGAATGTATGAGTAGTTTTGGCCGTCCGGGACGGTCTGGTTGTATTTTTCACTGTGGAAATCTAAAGCACACTCCCTATCTCTGGGATGACCCTTATTTCTGTCTGCCACTTACAGAGGAGGGGCTACAGTCTCGTGTGCCTTTTTTTACACAAACAGTGGATGTTGCAGTCGGATTCGGATAAGCATGATTATGTCCTGGTGTACATGCCGTGTGTATATTTTTCTAAACCTGCCTGCACAACAGTTATCCAGTCGAGTATCCTAACCCAAAGCTGATCCCTCATACGGAAACCCCGCTTTTTATTTTATTTTTTTATTTTTTGTGACGGTTTATCTGCGGGGCTTAACAATGTGAATGCTGGGATGTGTTATTTAGTGGCATTAGGGCGATTTCAGATGATAATGGCAATCAGAATATTCCGGCGTGACGGGATTTACGGAACAACTTCCGACTCATTTCTTTGGCCTGTTAAGGGAAAAGAAAAAAAAATCTGAGAAAAATCATAGATTTTCTGAGAGTGGCTAAGCTGAGATGAATCATCCGAGAATTTTTCTGGATCTCCTTTAGTTTAGACAGAGGCTGCTCTCTGACGCAGCACTCATCGCACAAGGCGAGAAGGAAACCATCTAATCATCTGCATACAGGAGGACTTTGACAATTGATGAAAATGGTATCTCAATTTGGTCTCTCGCACAGGGCTTTGTGCAAAAAACTGAATGTGACAGTGAATTAATGTGGCGTCTGACTATGATTTGTAATCAACACCGTCAGGTTGGAACAACCACGATGGCCTCGGATTAGCGAGGAGAAAGCTGCTCGTTGACGAATGAATTACAGTATTTAAACACAAACGTATTACTGAAAATGTATATGAATCATGTAAAACCTTGAACTGATCAAAATGATTGACCTCTTCGGTGCAACTTATGACAAAGTCATTACTTTGATGCGACTATTTTGTTTTCTTTTCATTCTCTGATGTCAAATGTGATGAACTGTACACAATGAAAGCTAATCAATTGAACATCTCAAGGATGACGGCATTTGTTCGATAGTGGAAACTGAATGTAAAAAGTAATAATAATAATAATCAAATGTCTTGCCTGGAATTTATTTTCTTTGTTTTCCAGTGAATAAGTTTGTCAGTGTGGCTTTCCTTCCTCTTTCTTTCATCTTTTAATGCGATGCAATCGGTACGACCTTCTTACTTTTCTCGATTTTAATGTGAAACGGCCTACACTACGAAAAGGCCCACTGGGTCCCTGAGTTTTACCACATGACTCAGACTTTTGTTCTCTACAATGACCACTACTAATTATCTTGTAATTGTAGTGATAAAACGCTGAGAATTACTTGAAAGTGTTGTTCTTCAATAAAGATGAACACGAAAAGTTGACGGAAGACTCATCTTTCCTTCAGTTTAAAGACCAGAAAAAGATTTATTGGCGGCTTTGGTCGGTTTTGTTTTGTTTTTCTTGTAAATGGGTGTGTTTTTTGTTTGTTTGTTTGTTTGTTTTTTGAAGGAGACGACGGCAGGAAGTCGTTGGACGATCAAGGTGCAGCTTGATAGACGCATCTAAGGACACTAGGCTTCAAGGACTGGAGTTTAAGAGCAAAGCATCTGCATTTGTTAGGATGACCTAGTCAAAGTACACACCTAAATTCAACAAAGAATCTGAAGCAATACTTGAAAGCTGATGCTATTCTCAAGTCTGACAAGCTTTGAACTTTTAGTCATAAGACATGCATAACTGGTGGAGATATACACCAAAGAACCTCCAGGGGGTGAGTGCAGCGACATTTACGCCAAACTTTCGAAAGCCTTGTATCATTTTCATTCGACTGCTATGGGGCTCCATTTGTAAAGTTGTGCAGAAAAACAATTGACAGAAAATGTTGGGGTTTATTTAGTCTGTCGTGGACGAAACAAATGTGGGTGTTAATTTTCAAAGTCAGATTTTTTTGTACATTTGTAAATGTCAGCCTTTCAGACCAAACGTGTAATTCGCAAACTAAGTACTTGGGTTTCAAATTACATATTTATTTGGCAAACTAAATATTTAGATCCAAATTAAGCATTTCTTTACTTCACTAAATATTTAATTCCAAAGTAAACAAATACTGTGGAACTAAATGTATAGCTTGCCAAATTTTTTGAGTGCCAGTTTAATAGTTTGGAAAATAAACGTTTGGAAATTACTAATCGTTTCTTTTCTCAGGGTGAATAAAATAAAAATACTGCTGTGATTTTTTATGTTTTATGTCTTACTTTACACACATCATCCTATAAATTGCTTGTTTGTTACTCAGCGAAGTTTTAGTGGGGAAAAAAAATACTTGTAGAGCAGATTGTGTCCAGTCCAACCTGACTGAAAAACCAGATTCAGTGTGGTCCGGAGATGCTTCTTGTTGATAAAAATGCATTACGAAACAAAAACAGAAAGATCAAACTTAAAGCCAAATCCCTCCTCAGCATTCTGAAGGGACCCAGTCATTCGTCAACCTCTGGCCAAAGTCTGAAAATGAGTGCAGTAAAGGATGCAGTAGGGATGGGGGTACGATCAGTTTCTTTTTTGAGCGAGAGTAGGCCTTTGATTGAAACCATCTCCTGCGTGAGCGAGCGAGCGGCACTCGGTCAAGGGGGCTTGCTCCTGAACAGCTTTTACCAAACATGGTCACATAGCAGAGACTCCATGAAGGTTTCCTCCAGCTACTGCAGCAGCACAGCAGGAGCTCCACGTCATCACCTGCATGTTCAGAAGGGCTGTGGGGGAGAGGGGGGCTACGCCCTTACGTCACGGTAAATACAGTCCATCATCACCCGCATCGGCGCCACACACACGGTATACAATACCGCGCGCTCGCGCGCCGCAAACTTTATGTTTACGTTGTGACACGAATTCGCGAGCGCTAAGTCAGGTCTCCTCTTTAAGAGGCCTAATGCTTCACGCTAATCACGAGTCGGTGAGTGCGGTGCAAAAAAAATTAAATAAATACAATAAGCAGATTGTAGAAATATGTCTATTTCAGGAGGAATTCATCCACAAGACTTTCCCCAGACTTAGAAAGAAACACAAATAGATGTGAGAGGGAGGAAAGGAGCCCGCATTCCAGGCTCTGCGGGAGCTTTGAACCGGCGTCCGCTCAACAAGGCAGCAGCTAGTAATGGCTTTTTGGAGCTAGCCTGTTAGCTTAACGTCGCCCGGTACCCGGGCCGAGCCTGTGGGAGCACAACTCGACGGTGTGAGTCAGCACTTTCGACCCAAACTGAACTTGAAACGGTTTCGCATCCAGTTGCGACAGAAAACAGAAGCAACTTTCTGTGTGAACTCTCGTTTCATCCAGTGGCGGCCCCAGAAAGGTTTTGTAAGGCCACTAAAAGGAGGGAGCCACTTTAAAAAAAATTATGTAATTTTATGTGTATGTATAATTTGTACTTTTACATGTACTATTTATTTTTGGGGGTTTTGCATTTACATAACCGTATGTCTCTATGCCACAAACATGAATGTCATGTCATTTTTTTTTTCAGGGCTGTTTTTTGGGAGGCAACTGATTTCATCAGGTTTTTATGTTCGTGGGACAGCGAGAAGTCTCTCACCGAGAAGGTCCTGAGTTTGAATCCCAGCTTGGAGTTTGCATGAGGGTCTCTCCAGGAAGTCCAGCTTCCTCCCACAGTCTAAAAACATGATTGTTGGGTTAATTGGCCTCTCAAAACTGAACTACTTTGCCTTTCTCGTCGCTCTGCAATGGACGAACTACCGTCCACCTGTTGCTCCTTCCTCGTCTCAGGTGGCTGGGTCTATCCCGCTATAGTTGCCCTGGCAACCGACTGTTTTGCAGATTAGGGTTCGTTATTTACCTCTTAAGTCACAACTGAAGGCAGTTGTTTGTATTAGAGTTTAAGTTGGGGTCTTAAAGCAAAGGGGTCTAACCCGCCACAGAACCCTTTTAAACAACTTCACAGTCACATCCTACGTTGTCTTTGTCTCTCGCATGAATAAACACCCTGAAGTGTGTGGTTGGAGCGCAGCTGAACTGACCAAACCCAGGCTTGTTTGAAGCTTCCCGTCGTTCTGCAGCTACAAGTTGGAACGATGATGCCATGAACTCAGAACTCTGCTGAGTTGCTCCGGGCTGAGAGGCCTCCTACCATAAATAGCCAGAGTTGGGGTAGAGAGGGAAGACTGGCTCTCAGCAGAAATGCACCTCAGCGTTCCTCGGAGCGAACCATTCCCCTTCCCCTCCTCATCCATCTCACTTTCCATCCTTTGAGCCCACAAACGAGCCCTCCTGCTGTAAGAAAGGGTCTCTGTACTCAATCTAAATCTGAGATAGTCATTTTATATCAGGATGGATATACAAAGATCTGATCTGGGAGGTGCTTATGATCTTTTAAGGGCTTATAGTAGTGCTTTACAAAAGTAATTTTATGACTTCCACTTTTTCTAATTACATTACGACCACTAAGTTTTGTGTATTCTACTCGTGTGTCGCATAATGCACCAACGTAAAGCGGTGAATGATGGAGAAGGGTGAAGAAAAAGCCCGTCGACACATTTAACAAATCAAAATCTGAAAAGTGTGGAGCAGATTTGTAGTCAGCCTTTTTTCTTTTTCTTTTTGAATAAGGTTCACCCGGTCGGTACCTGATTTGGACTCCTTGGTCGAAGTGCAGAACTAACCAGTCTCGTCACCCGGAATTCCCGTATTGGAGAAACCGGCGGTGGCAGTATCATGCTGTGGGGATTCTTCTCTTCAATGAAGATAGAAACAGGAGGATCCTGTAAGGAGAGCTGTTGAAGGTTTTAAAATGGCTACGTTGTCGTGGTTTAGATGAAAGCATATGCCATTTGAACGGCCTAGTCAAAGCCCAAACATTAGGTTTTTATGACTATATGTGTGTATTCATATAGTTTTCTTTTTATTGTATTCCTCATTTTTATGTATAAAAAATAGTTGTTTTCTGCGCTCTAAAAGCCTTTGAGATTTAGTGTCACCATATTCATAATTTTAATGACCTTAAAATCTCAAATAAGTCATCTAAGTCATGTATACCAAAATACATTTATACAACTGATGTCATGTTAAATGAAGGTTTTCTGTTTACGTTCATTGAACAGGAAAGATTCCGGAGCTGGTTAACAAAACACCTTTCGTAGTCGTGCGTGGCGTGAAATTGACTCAAACTACTTGAAAACCAGACCTCTGTACTTCTCAGACCTCAATGAAGTATTCAAATAAATAATATCAATGCGATTTTACAAGAACGCGCTGCATCATGGGACGTCGCAGGCCTACGATTGGAAGTTGGCGCTCCGCTGAATCTCGTATATCCGCAACAACGTCGTACGTTCCCATTTCATACCAATAAATCGATCAGCCCATTGACCTTTTGGAAATCTGTGGGGGGAAAAAATCTGTGGTAAACGATGATGTTCGCGTGTCTCTCCAGCCAATCTTTCGCAGCTCGAGGAAGGACGCGCTCTTTCCCCTTCCGCCTCGCTTCCTTTCCTCGCTCCGTCTCACCGGATCCCAATAAAGCGCTTCGTGATTCACTCGACGATCCTCCCGGGCGGGGGAAGCTCGCCACGTTCGCTCGGACTCGACGCTGCGCAGCGGGAGAGCGTCTTCCCCACTGCGTCCCGATCCCTCTGGGTGTCGGATGACGCGGAACCGGCGTGAATGCCTGACCGTGGTTCTGTTGTTTTTGCTGTGAGGGATTCCTGTTTCGCGGTTAGCCGAGCCCGCTCCATTCCCCCGTAATGCCCAAATAAAGTGTCCAAATTCCATGTGTGTGTTGCTGCTTCCCTCTGCGAGATGTTTACAAGACCCTCGCTTGGACTGCGCGCCTGTGTGAGCGAGAGAGAATGTGAAGCAGCGGAAATGAGCTTTATGTTATTTTCTGTACTGTGCTGTGAAATAACTTGCTACCAATGCAGTAAGTGAACGTCCAGGACAGACGGGACAGCTGAGAACAGAAGCAGGCGGCCAGGAGTCATAATAATGGTAGCAATAAAAGCCGCTGGCGGTTCAGTCCAGAAGAGAGAAGAAAACCCAGAAATTCGCCAGAAAACACGCAGAAAGGGCCCCTGTCCCCGGAGCCAGTCAATACCGGACCACAATGACGGAGTAAATGGGAGTACTTTCTATAAAAAGTGAACACACACACACAATGAGGGAGTAAGTGGGAGTACTTTCTATAAAAAGTGAACACACACACAGTGAGGGAGCAAATGGGAGTACTTTCTATAAAAAGTGAACACACACACTCAAAGAAAGAACTCACAGTCAAAGCTGGCAATGATGCCAACAGTGATTCTGAACAACAAGCTCGTCATGGTTCAGTAAATCCAAGCTCTCTGCTCAACACAGAAGCACAAGCCCAGGCGTACTTTCTACAGGAAGCGTCAGTGAACCTCCTGCTTCTTCTTTTTTATTGTCTTTCCTGACCGCTTACTGCATCAGTCTGTGCCGGGCTGTGCGTTTAAGACGAAGGTGAATGCACAAACGCATTCCAAGTTTAGGATTCGCTCCGCCACGGCGGCGAGAACAACGGCTCACTTGTCCGTCGCCGACCTGCTGGTCCCGCAGGCTGGGCTGAGTGCAGCTCACAGATTGTGTGAGGCACATTTATTTACTTCCTCATCAAGCCACCAATCATCTACCGGGCTTCAGTTTATTATTAGCCTGATTCCTATAGCTGGAAGGTTTTCCTGAGCATTAAAGCTTCCAGCCACTGTTGGCTTTAGCGAATGAGACCAAATGGTCAGAGTTCAATGTTGTGCCTCTTTCTTTTTATTCCACCAGCTCTAAGACATGTCACATTTAAAAGTAAATAGTCCAAATCTTTGGACTTTGTGTTTAATCTTCAGAGATTTAATGAGGAATCGCAGCTTCTAGCAAAATGCTGAATTTCTTATCATCTGCTAACTGAGACATTTTTCTGTTTTAGGTCTCTAAGCACTCAAAGTGTGGCGAGAGGGCCTTTAGAGGACCTATGAGTGATTTTGTGCGGCCTCTGTTATTTTATATATTTTTTAAAAGATCCTCGATTGGTCAGAAAACTGCAGTCGCTGCACACCGACTGGAACCTGTAACATTGTATTAAATACAAAATGAAGGCTGGTAAATTTATGCCTAAAAACTCTGAAATTTTGAGATTAATCTGAGGAATTTTCAAGAAAAAAGCAGAAAATTTCTGCATATGAAAAGTCAGAAGTTTGAAAGACCTCCGAAATTTGAAGATTAATCTCAGAAATTTTCTATAAAAACACTCAATCTCAAAATTTCTGGGATTTTTTTGGAAACACAGAAATCTCTGTTACTTTTTTTATGGAAAGTTTCTGAAATTCACCTCAAAATTTCAGAGTTTTGACTTTTCAAACTCAATAAATGTCCATGACTTTGTAGATTTTTTATTTTTTAATTTATTCCAATATATATATTTTTTAAACTTACAAAATGCAGGTTGTTTTTTTGAGAAAATCAGTACAGAAAACAAACGAGTGTCTCAACTTTCAGTGTTTCTTCTTTTAATTTTGGAAAGCTGCTTATTTTTTTATCCAGTCTGTCCTGCAAAATCCAACCCAACAATTTGAAAAAAAAAATGTACGTCAAATTTTGCTTGAGAGAATTTGAGAATTATCTCATGAATCTTTGCAGAAAAAGCGTTCCAGCATCTTGTTCTGGTTTGACCATCACCTTTACGTTTTCACTCTACTCCAGTGCTTGAAATGTGTCACCAAAGTGGAAACGTTTCCACTGTTCAGGCACCAGCTGTTTTCAGCTGTGTGCGTGCAAATGAACAAAACCGTCTGTCTTACTGCAGAATGTATCCAGCCATTCATAGGAAATGCACCTGCAGTACAGTGGACGCAGAAATGACTCCCTTTTCTTCCATCCAGGAGGTTTTCGGTCTGCTCCTCTCCAGGCCTGACAATAGGCCCAACATGGCCGTGACACACAGGCTGGAGCCACAGAAAGGTCAGTGGATGAATCATGCTGCCTGTGGAGCAGCGTCCCCGGTTCCCCGGGATCCCGCCGCATTCCTCTGTCCGTCCTGGTCCGTGGAGGGAACTGAGGGTGGTGGTGGGGGGGGGGGCGCAGTGGGATAAAAGAGGAGAACTACCTCATTGTTCCCAGCATGACGTCAGGCATTCTGCAGTGGCTTTCACGCACAGTGGAGCACATGCTGGACACGCTGCCACCGGCCCCACAGCGCCGGGGACACACACCGCTGTGTGTCTCTGGATTCAACTGAGAGTCCATCTACGAAACAGCATCCATCTTCAAAATGCCTCGAAACTCGCTGATTTGCCAGACTCAGAAGAGTTAAAAAATAGTTCTTTGCGGGCCAAATGGAGGACCTCATGGAAGAGGACCAGAGCCAGTGAAAAAATAAAAAATAAACTCACTTATTCTCACTCAGAGTTCTGAGAAAAAAAGGCACAGATGGAAAGAGTTCCAAGTCCAAAATTATTGTTGATTTATGTAAAAAAAAAAAAAAAAACAACAACAACCAAAAAATGAAAACCTTCACATTTGCCTGAAAATGTCCTGATCTCCTGTCAGGTGTATAATTTCAATCAAAAAAAGTTTCAAAAGTGTAAAACAACAACAACAAAAAAGATTATCAATAATAATAAAATACGGTGCAGTTATTAGTCTAGAAATATCGTAATCGTCATTGTCATATATGTACAATTGATGAGTTTTCTTAGAATGGACGTAGTGTGCGTGTCTTAAACAGATCATACAATACAGTAGCCTATATAAGGGCAGAAAAAATGAACGCATGTTCAATAACAGGAAAATGTTGAACATTTTTAAAAAAATATATAAATAAAGACATCTGCCAATCCGATTTATTAGCCGGCCGATTTACCGGTATCGCTCCGCCCCGAGTTATTGAATTCCATTTTCAAACCGGTTCGTGGTTGTTCCCATAGCTTTTTTTCCCCCCTCCAGTCAACAAAATGGTTCTAAAAGAGATGTCCACGTTTCGGTTTTATAAACTCCAATGTTTCTAAAATAACACAGACTAAAGTGTTTTTGAGCTCTGAGCGATAACAGAACATTCCATCCGAACACCCGAGCAGAACTCAGCCCCGCCTGGGCTGAAGGTGGAAAATGTGACACTGATTCAAACAAAAAAAAAAAAAAAAAAAAAAAAAAAGAAGAAGAAGAAGAAGAAACAATATCCGAGCGATGACATCACTCCCCCTTTGACGGAGAGGTTCCGTCCGGATTGGGCAGCGGCTGCAGCCAATCAGAGAGCACGCACATGGGACGCGTTTAAAAAGATTCCGAAAAAAGTTGGAAGGTTGTCAGAAAGCCTCAGCAGCTGGTCGGTACCGCGGCTAATTAACACGCAGCCCGTTTACTCTCTCTCTCTCTCTCTCTCTCTCACACACACACGCAGAGCTCCTCCGGGTTCCCTGAGGACTTCCGTGCTGCGTGTCCCCGCACTCGGACAGAGCACCGCAACCTGTTTCCTCCATTTCCCCCTCAACACCCCCGTTTATTTTTTCTTCCTCTTCTTCTTAATCTTCATCCCTCGGCTCCATCTGCCGACAGACACGAACTGCAGGATGACAACACATTTCAGGAGCGGTCCGGCTTTTGGACTTTCCGCCGAGGTCAAGAGTAAGGTATGTCGTCGTGAGTGATGTGTTCGCAGGACGGACTGGACCCCCCGGTGGGGTCAGACGGGTCCTCGCTCAGTATTTGGGGAGCAGAGTCCACGCGCACTGTGGGCTCGTGCTCCCATGGTTTCTGTCGTGATGCGTTCAAGCCTTTGGCAAAGAAGGAAAACTTGACATTGCGGTGCAAAGTGTAAAAGGGTTGGCTTATTTAAGAATAAAATAAAAGAAAAAGGGAAGACTGGGCTTCTCTGTGCAATTTATGCAAAAATATGTCTGTTAGTTTATTGTTTAATACGAGCATGTCACGTGTTGATGTAGACAAAAAAAGTTTAGAATGAAAGTTGGAAGACAAAAAAAAAATCAGTCCTGTCAAAGGTCAGCAAGCTGCAAGCAACAAGCGCCAATCAGCTGTCCATATGGAGACATTTTTAAACACAAAACAGGCAACATAAGAATAATAATGACAAAGAATATATTTGTAATAATGCAGCCCTTAATTGAGTCAGTTTACTTCATTATACTTTGATAGAATATTGTATTATTTTCTCCGAAAAAAAAAAATCTACTCTGTTTTCTTTAGACTATTCTATAACAGAAATACAATGTTCCAGTTGTGTAGTTCTTACTTTGGGATTAAATATATATTTCTGATCCTCAAACTGTAAAAGCTATCTTTTTTCTTTTCTTCTTCTTTTTTTTTTTATACCAAATAAGGGCAAAAAAATAAAAAACTTAGCAGGAACTTTGTTTTCTGTTTTGCACAAACTACACTACACTCTTACTTTTGCTCTCCTAAAGGCTTCTGGTGTTTACTTGTCATCAAGGTGATTCTGAGAAACGATCTCCCCTCTTTAAGTCCAGCTTTGTGCCACCTGAATGTTCACCGAGCCCCTTATGAACTGTGATGCTGCCGCCGCCATCTTTCACAGTAGGCACGGCGTTCTTTTCCTTTATGCTGTGTTTGTGCTTCTGTTTTCATCGGCCCATAATTCTCCCTCAGGATTTTGAGGTACTTCTAGACGGATCTAGATGTCTTACCTGGGAAGGAAGACTTCAGTCTTTAAAATCTGTTACTTGGCCTCTACATATGGAGGAGAAAGCAGATTGTTGTCACATATAGAACATGCTGCTCTTCTAGATGCCTGCGGCTTGTTGTGTTGCCGTCAGCGACCCTGACCAGATTCCATCTTCTCCGTTTCGTTTTCCTACTGATTGATGATTATTTAGCGCTGTGCTTTGATATTGCTGTAATGATCTTGGGGGTTGAGGCCAAATACAGCTTGAAGGCTTAAATTGACTGTAAGGTGGCTTCTATTAATTCTGGTAAACTGAGTTCATCAGAACTTGGACAGATGAAGAAAACTGAAATTTAATAACTGGCTAAAGTGATGTTCCTGAGACAAAACTTTGTAAATATCCCACATGATTTACTGGGTCTGAACCCCTGAAGAATAGAGATGGTAATGTGTGTGTGTGTGTGGCAGCCATTAATTTTGATTATTTTTGTTTTTCCCTTCAAAATGCTTTAATCGAGTTAATGGCAGAGACTGTAATTATTTCCGTTTTAATCAAAACCCATATATTGACGAAATCAGCAACATTTTCAATTCTAAAACCCTATTGCTGATGTTTGAATAAACATGAGCTCAATAGCAAATATGTCCTTTTGTCTTTTGATCTGATATTCAATCAGATTGGTGCAAAGCGCCGTCATTGCTATATATATTTTTTAAAGCCCTTCACGAACCCCTGACCATTTATGTAACATCTTTGAAAAAATACTGCTTCAGAACTTGTACTGTGGTGCTGAAATGAACATTTCATTATGTGTTTGGCATGCTGCAGTGCTCAGCCAGTTGGTCATTTGGGACAGTCCTTGTCTTTGGTGGGGAAAGTTGTCGTCTTGGAAATTCTGATCAGGCGTTTTCACTTTACTCCTTTGTCATTCATAGAATCATTTTCTGTTATTTCCCTTTTTGTATTGCTAATCAAGTCATTTCATACCCGTTTACGAAAATCATTGCATATCGGCCTTAATAATCAAGTATTTTTCTGATTTGTGGCTATAAATGCTCTTGAAGATGTCTAATGCCACTTTAGTTGGCAAAACTGACTACTTAGGGTGATTTCTAATAGGAAGATGAGGGTTTTTTATGTTTGCTTTTTTTCTCTTTGAATAGTTTTGTAAAGTTACTTTATTTTGTTAGTAATGCTAGCTTTTTATATAAACGGGATTGAAAAGCCAAAGACAGAAATAGCGTAAAAAAATTCTCAAACGAAAATGGATCTCTGCTTGTTATACGCTATGGTACTGGCCTGCATTTAGAATTGTAGAGAAATCCAGCTTATAGCTGTTCCAACATGCAGATCATCATCATTGTTGTCACTGCCATTGTTCTGCCCTCCCAACAGCTCCGTCACTCAACGCTGGCTTAATGTCTCTCCGCTGTCACATGTTAAGCTCGGATTCCTTTCAGTGCAAACCATCTGTCATTTTACAGCTGCCTGTGTCCCATTCTGTAGCATGAGTTGTAATTGAGAATTAAAATGGAATCAGCAATTTGGTTTGGAGTTAATGGGCTCTGAGAGTGATGCTTACGTTCCTGCGGGATGACATGAAGATTAGAGATGCAACTGAAAAGAGTGATGGGTACATCACAACCATCTGATGGCCTTTTAAGGAGTGGCCAGGCTCTGGCTGGGAATTTGAGAAACTGTCCCTCTCTAAACAGTTTACATCAGAGTCAAGGATGACAAAACAATGTTCTGACAGAACACAGGAGGTAAGAAAAGCCGAGCCACCAGAGGGTCGTCTTAGCAAAGCACAGGCAAATCTGGAAAATGGTGTCAGTCGATGTACAGTGGTGTCCAAAAATATTCACATCCATTCAATAAATATACATTTCAATGTGTCTCATTAGGATATATTATAATGAACCAAGACAAAGCGGTGCATAATTGTATAGTGGCAATGATGTCCATGGGGTTCAGACGGTTTTTATGGATGAAAATACAAAAAGCTTGGTTGACATTTGTATTCAGAAATCCCTGAGTCAGTCATTTGTAAGGTCATTTTATTTATATGGCATATTTTGCAGCAACAAGGCAGTTCAAAGTGCTTTATATGGATTAGAGGAAAGACAACCATATAGTGGAACATCTCTACAAGCTTCACATTGAATTCCTTTTTACAAAATACAAAAACTTTAGCAAGAGCATCTCTTACTTTCTTTTAAGTCCATACAATTTAACTTCTGATTGGCCTTTGGCTGGATCTGTCATACCAATGTGACTAAAGTTTAGGCCAGTGCTGTCCAAAGCGTGGTCCTGGAGCCAATTGCGGCCCTGTGAATAATTTTAAGTGGCCTCCCCTTGACTACAGTTTGAGACTGGTACAAGTTTGTCCCTCTAATAACAAATTTGTCTTCTCAAATGGAAAATGTTGGGTATAAAACTGTGTTTTTCTTTCATTATTTATGTGTTTTGATTCCATTTTAACATACTAAGGGTCCTAAATGTCCAGTGAATTGTTTTTTTTGGTACTGAAATGCAAACTTAAACTCAGTGGAAAATATCGCAAGGACATTTAAAAGAAAGTTCACATCTTTGTTGCTGACAATAGGTTAATATTCAAACTATAAAATCTGGAACCCTTGATTGGTTCTACAAGAATTTATTTTCTACTTTAATTAAAATATTCTGTACTTAATTTATTCCTGAGCAGGTGAATGGAAAAGGACTGCCACGTCCTGGTGGGCTAGCAGATGCGCCACAGTCTTTCTATTTTTGGCTTAGTCATTTTATTCCCTTCCAATAAAATAGTTTCTGTGCATGTGCAGCAATCACCACAGAGCAGATAAAATGGTTAAACATTGTGAAAGACTCGCTGTCTGGTTGTCCTCCAAGGGTCTGACTTGTTTTGGTGTCGGCTGATAAAGAGAAACATCAGAGAGATTCTAATAAACGTAACTTTTTCTTTTTTTTTTTGAATGATAGCCTGTAGCAAATGCCACACTGGATCCAAAATGTGGAGGGGGTAAATCTCCACTGCTGAATCACTTTTTGCTCTGGGTTCAGAGTGATATTTACCTTACTTGGTGTGGCATAACTATGTGCTACATATTCTGAACTTCATGGGTGGATATGATGAGACGTTTCAGAACGGCCTCCTTTTATGACGACATTTGAGCGAAGGTTTGGTCATGCGTTCTGGAGTGGCGAATTTCGTTCAGTTTTACTCTGACAGCTATGAGTCAAAAATAAGATGGTCATCTATGATATGTATCATACAGATTCTTTATGTCCATAAAGGCCTTTAGGCTTTAAGCTAGGAGTCCGGTGGGCGATGTGGACTATTTTTAATCGCAAAATTTTGTGGTAATAATTTAAATTTTTTTCTTTTTTTAGGGGGGGGGGGTAATTGTATGGCTGCGACTGCAAACAAATATTGTTGGAAAAACATTCGGATTTGAACGGAGCTTCTTCATTTTTACTTTTTTTTCAAATTCGTACTTCAAAAAGTGACTTGAATCCCTGAATTGCACACAGAAACTTATTTGAATCATATTTTATATTTACAAATATTTATTGATGGCACAGTGGCGAAAAAAAAAATCTGCCTGATCATCTTTGGTATGTTGGCGCTTAAGAGCAGACTATCTGGTTGACGAAAATATTTACCCATCACAGGTAACTTGAAGAGTTTTATCTGACCAAACCTTCAACAGGAAGTCATTGAAAGTCCCTTAGAGGGACTTCATGTTATCAGCAGAAGCCAACTTTTGCACTACCAAAAGAGAACGGTTTTCAGCAGAGATACATAATTGCCTAAAGCGACTTCATGTTGAGGCTTTTTTGTTTAAAAGGCTTTGAAGCTTTTATACGTTCAGTAGAAAATTATTCCGGAGTCTTAATTTCACATAAACCCAAATTTGGACCCGGACACTGATTTTTAAGTTTTTCTTTTCGCTGAATTTGTATATTTAATTTTCATATTCCCTTACTTTTTCTGTTGTACAGTTACTTCAAATGAAAACACTTCATACGTTCCACTCATGAAAATCACCTACTGTGACTTCCTGTGCAAATTACGATCAGTGTATTATAATGTGACCGCAGTTCAAATCATTTTTTTTTTCTTCATGTAGCTGGTCTGAGGGCGAAATTTCAATCGTATCTTTCGATTTGTAATCCTCCAATATTTCCTTGCGTTCAAACTTTCAGGGGAGGGAGCGGCCTGCACGCCGGAGAACGTTCCAAATGTATCTGCCGAGCTTTGCTATGAAAAGATGCAACAACTCTTTAATTAAAAGTCGGAGTTAAACCGTCTCCTGGAAGCAGAACCTGCCCGGCGCGGCCTGTGCACGTCAGATGTGGGCAGCCTGGCTGGTCGCTTCACTGTAAAAGGGCACATTCTGGAAAATCCACAGAGAGAAGGGGAGGAGGAGGAGAAGGCATGTGTGAGATGAAGAAATATGAGCAAAGCCAATAGGAGACGGGGAGGTGGGGGTCAGAAAGGAGGGGAGTGTTTAGCAGCAGAGCTGTTTCTCCCAAGTTTGGTGTGATGGACTGGAAGCTCGGCTATCCCTGCTGCTTTGAAATACTTGTTTGTGTTGGCTGCATGGCCGGCACTGAGAAGACTTATCTGCAGAACATTCAGGAAATGTGTGCAGTTTAGTGTGTGTGTGTGCGCGTGCACGGGGAGTACGGCCCTAAATCCAAATACCAGAATTCAAAGTATTAGGGCTGCAGCAGCTTTTGTGCCAGGATGGAAATACATGGAGAGGCTGAGAGCTTCTGGATGCAGGAATGTCCACAGGCCTTTTTCATTTTCACTCAACTTCCTGTTCTGGTCATGCCCCTCACCTTGCTTTTAAAGCGCTTATTACGCTGCAAGACTTCCAGTTACGCTGGACGTCTGCTGTCTGTTAGGAGGACAGGAATGAGCGAATGAACGAACGAACGAACGCAGAGTTATTTTAGGAACTGAACCCTGGAAACCGGAGTGGGGGGAGCCAACGAGGATTACAAGGGAAAAACTTGTATTTCTGAATTTATGCAGGGTAAATAAGGCTGAGTTTCGATAGCGATTTAATATTTTCCCTCCACTTTGCAGTTTTTGTCTGTGTGTGTGTTGATCTAACACATAAAATCCTAATAAAATACACTCAAGTCAGGTCTTGGAAAAAAAGTTCCCTTTTAACAAAGCACAAAAAAACAAACGGTGTGGAAAATGCCTCATTTGTTGGACTTAAAAACTTTCTGTATTTTGCAGCACGACAGCAGCGGTTCCTCAGTCAGAACCTTTTTTGGAATCCCTGCAACTCAAACCACTGCAGAGGACGGTTCCTGCACACAACCGTCCCCAGTTGTTTTGGGTGGTGAAGCTGCAGCAGTCAGTGTTGCAGCAAGCCTTTGGATGCCTCAGACTGAAGGCTGTTGCAATGCCACAGTCTCATGCAAAAGAGGATATTCCACAGAAACATGTCCTGGTTAACACCATCAGCTGTTAGCAAATACTGCTAATCCTCCTCCTTTGCTGCTGCTGCTCTTTAAATCTCTGATTGGCTGTAAAGTTAGAGACGCTTTTATTTCGGAAGATGCCTATGCTATGCTATCTGCTATGATCCATAAAGGCAGATGGTTTAATGCCCTCCTTCCTTTTGGGATCGTAGTTCAGGTATTGGTTGAGTTTTTTTAAACGTTTGGCTGCTCCTAGTTGTAAAAACAATACACTGTTGCCACGGTTACGTGTCGCAACAATTACACTTTGAAAATGGGAAGAACAGAGATTCCTGCAGCAGCACAGTGACCAAAATTGAATTTTATTTTGGAATAAATAATGTTTTTCAATGGAACTTGAATTGGGTCAAGTTTTAGATTTAACCTTAATGATGCGGCAGAGTGGCCCACTCAAAGTCCAGACATAAATTCAATTGACAATCTGTGAGCAGCTTTGAAAATTGTTTCATTTTGACTCCATTTTCAGTCACCAGTGAAATGAAATGGAAAAACAAAAAGAGCAGCAAACAGCTGATGAATGTTTGGTGGGGAATTTTTTTTCTTTTCTTTTTAAGGAAATGCAAAAAGGTAGAAACTATTGGTTCGAACACAACTTCCTGAATTTAAATGGTTAGTAACTTAATTAGGGCTATAGTGATAAATCGGCACCAGTTTACTTCATTTTGGGAGATGGGCCGAGATTTAAATGCAAAACTGATATTAACTGCCTCCTCAAATGTCTGAAAATCGGCTACATTTGCTGCATTTATTCACTATATTTAGTGACTTTTACCCCAAAACAAATTTGACTAAAATCAGAATCGGCAGATCTGTTTTTAAATGTCATTGATCCGTCAGAAAACTGCAAAAAACTGTTTTTTTTATTTTATTTTTTTTGTTTCCGCCCCTTCAGTCACATAGAATCCCAACCAACAAAATGAATTAGTGATATGAAAAAAGATTAAAAAATCTCTAAAGGCATAAAATGTTTTTTTTTTTTTTTTCCCCCACTACTCTACAGTCTGCTCACAGGAGCAGCAAGAAACGGAAACATTTCAACTCTGGTCAGTCAGAGTTGTAGTCAAACCACCATTGCTAACTTGGCAAATTTGACGCAACTTTTCAACAACAAAGAAAAAAAAATTAGCAGGTCAGACTTTTTAAATATTGGTAATTGGCTAGAAAACTACAATCGGTGCACACCCCTAAATTTAATGCATTTCAAAACAAAACCAATAAGTTGTCTCAAAAAGTAGCATGATTACAGATTGATTCCATCGATCTCAGTGTTCTGAGCACCGATCACAGTAAACCTCCAGTCTCACTGATTTTACGAGACTGATTTTCCGGCTTTCTCTCCATCAGCTGGCTGGGAAGTACGACCCACACAAGGAGGAGGAGCTGAGGCTGTGGATCCAGGACGTGACCGGCAAACGAATCGGAGAGAACTTCATGGAGAGTCTGAAGGATGGAGTCTTGTTGTGCGAGTGAGGCGCCGCCGGCTTCGGAGGCACAAAACTCTCCTAGGCGTACTGGGAAACGTCCTCCTCCTGACTCAAGTTTCTTTTTTTTCTTCCCCCATCTGTATTTGTAGACTTATTAATGTTCTACAGCCAGGTTCAGTGAGGAAGATCAACCACTCTAGTCAGAACTGGCACCAGCTGGAAAACATTGGGAATTTCGTCCGCGCCATCACGGAATACGGCCTGAAGCCGCACGACATCTTTGAGGCCAACGATCTGTTTGAGAACGTCAACCACACGCAGGTTCAGAGCTCCCTCATTGCCCTGGCCGGAATGGTGAGACGCTGCTGTCGATATTAATGTCGGTAAATTAGAATGTTATAATAAAAAAAATGGTTTATTTTAATCTGGCTGAAAAAAGGTTTAAATAAAGTGTTAAATGGAGACCACACGACCACAATTCGGCTTGTTGTGGTCATGTCAGCCACGAGTAATCGCTGAAAAAGCTGCGGCCATGCATTTTAATGGAAAGTTTAGTGGAAGGAAAAAGTGCGGTAAAAATGGTGCACAAGATTACAATTTTCCAGATGGTAGTCATCGAAGCCCTCCACAAGGAAGCAGAAGGTCATCACTGCTTAAAGAAAAACGGTTGTTTAGAAAGCTGAATTTATATATTTTAATAGAAAGTTAAGTGGAGGGAAAAATTTTGGGTAAAATGTGCCCAACATCACAATTGTCCAGATGTAAGCCATCCACAAAGAGGATACACCACAGCTCATCGCTAAAGAAGCTGCCTGTTCAGAGAGCTCCAGCCATGTATTTTAATGGGAAGTTAAAGTTAAGTGGAAGGAAAAAGTGCGGTTGGAAAAAGGTGCACAACTAACGGGAAAATCCAGTGTTGAGAGTAATACTGAAACAAAGCCTCTCTTTATTGGGCTTATGAAATATTCGAATGTGTTGAGAAAGTCCATCTTAAGTTTTTATTAATTTTGAGCAATGATCCTCAAAATGAACATAAATAAATACTTGAGATCTATCACTTTATGTGTTATGAATCCAAGCATTTTAATGGGAAGTTAATTTAACTTTTTGAAATAAATTGCGTTTCTGATGACATTTTTTTGGATGCACTTGTACGTCTGCATGCTGACTCCGCCCCATACGGACACTGTGTGACTGTTGAGACATTTAAAAGTTTCCTCTGCGTTTCTTGTCTCTCTTGTTGTCAGGCCAAATCCAAAGGTTTCCACTCAAAGTACGATCTGGGCGTCAAGTACGCCGAGAAGCAGCAGCGGTACTTTGCTCCCGAGAAGCTCAGGGAAGGACGGAACATCATAGGCCTGCAGGTCAGGAAGGACGCCGCCGCTCTGCCCACGTCCTGCACGCGTCACGGTTTGACCTCACGGCTTCTGTGTTTTCAGATGGGCACCAACAAGCTCGCTAGCCAAAAGGGCATGACCTCCTACGGTACGCGACGCCATCTTTACGATGCCAAGATCGCCATGGATACCCCAGTGGACCAGTCCACCATCAGCCTACAAATGGGCACCAACAAGGGGGCCAGTCAGGTGAGGGGGGGAAACTCCTTATTTTACTATTTCTTGATTTTCCTAAGTAACAAAAAACTCATTTTAATAGTCAATTATTCTCATGATTTTACTGATGAAGACAATTTTCACTTTCTGCAGATTTGTTTTTAACCACTTTTTTTCCCCCAACAATAGAAATGCATTCAAATTACTAATAACCTAATAAACTTATATTAAATAGAAATACATTAAAAATGCTCACAAATTAGCATTTTTAAAGCTAAGATGCATCTTTATTTGTAGATGCATCTGCAACAACAACAAAAAAAAAGAGTCTGATTTTGATTACGTATTCTGATGAAATGTTTCAGCCTTGGCTTCATAACCTTAAGGCTTCTTTTCAAACCCCTTCATCTAACTCGCTCCAGGCTGGCATGATGGCACCAGGAACCAGGCGGCACATCTTCGACAAGAAGCTGCAGCTGGAGAAATGCGACACCTCCACCATCTCCCTGCAGATGGGCACCAACAAGGTGGCCTCCCAGCAGGGCATGACCACCTACGGCCTGCCCCGCCAGGTCTACGACACCAAATACTGCGCCAACGCCGTGGACACCTACAACAACGGCAGCGAGGTCGAGTTCGACGGCTACAACCAGTACTCTGACTAAAGAAGCCACGCCCCCTCCACAGCTGTCTCCGTGACGAGCGAAGCCTCCAGACTCTGAATGACGTCGTGGCGTCATTAGCTCCCCCGATCGTTTCTTTCTTCTTTTTTTTCCCCAAACATGTTTTTACGGCAAAGGATTTTATATTTTTGCTTTTCCATGAGCACGAGATAAAATAAAATGTTTACACTGGCCTCGCAAAACAAAAAAAGGTCATACTGTGGCTGACTTCTGTTGCCGTGGTTACTATTTGTAGAAAATGTCCACAACGCACAAAGAAGTTGAGATGTATTGATCTTTGCTATTTATAGTTTTTTTTTTTTCCTTTTCATTTTACCGCTTTTATTTTTATTCACAGATTTTAACTCTTGACACCCTTGACGTCTCGCTGTTGCCTTCCAAACATGTTTGAACACTGATGGGAGTAGAATCAGGAAGTCGGTGCTGTTGAACTTTGACCCAGCCACATTAAAAGTTCCGCAGGCTGGAAGGAAAGTTTGGGAAGTGAAAGTCGGCGCCACGGATTGAGCTGCAAAACGACAGACGCCGATCCAGCGACGTTGGCCGTCAAACGGCGCTGGACCTGTGCGCTTTGTCAGCGGCTTCCGGGGAAGCATTCGGAACGCCTTTCAGTCACGACTGTTCACCACTTTCACAAAGCAACACGCGTCTGTAATGTTGTGTAGTCAGAGGTGTGGAGAACAAATTTATCAGCAGTTTCTTGTATTGCACGCAAGTCCACTTAAGTCACCCTTTGTGCTTTTGCCAGAAGTTTCCTTTTTGTTTTAGTTTAGGTGTTGTTGCTTCACTTGCACTTGAGGTTTTGCGCAGAAAATGGCGACGGAATGTCACGAGCTACAATTGTTCAGAAATGACGAATGATTCAGTATCACTACAGTGGCGACCCGGTAAACGCAGTTAAAAGAACCACAACCGTTAGCATTTTATTAAAACCTGTGAATAACTGAGGCTCCTCTCAAAAGTTTATCACCAAGGACGCACCGATTGCAATATTTTTGGCCGGTCACCGACCGTTAAGAAGCCTGGCAACTTTTTTTCCCCCCTCTAAACGTAGCTATAAAGTTATTAAGTTAGCAACAGTAAGCGCGTGAGTGCCTATGTGACAGAGTGGGCAGATTTCCGTCTGCACTGTCACTGCAGGGAAATGGAGAAAAGGGCTGATTTTTAGGCCTTTACGGATGTAAATAAGACCCAAACCTTTCTTCCGATAACCCAAAATTCTGAAAATCAGTCGGCTTTATCAATGCACCCCAATTTAACTGCCTTTTTTAATAGTTCAAAAACCAAATATAACTTATATTATTTTGAATTTCTCAGATGTGCTCTACAAAGAAGTCAACAAGTAGCCGATTAATTTGGTTGTTTCCTGAAAACAGAAATCTGTTTGATGGGTGGATCTGTGAATACCGGTCCTCGATTAGGCCGGCGCGCAGACCTTGGTAATATCCAATGACATAAAAACAGTTTCTCCAGTCTAATGAATAATTATGAAGCATCGTTTTGCTTGAGACGTAGATCAGTCAACTTGGTGTTGATGGATGACTTTCCCCAGTCACTGACGTCTTGTCCCTGCTGTCCTCTGTGGAATCTGGAGGGTTTATTGGCCAGTGGCTGGACAACAGTGTCAGGATATGTCTGGAGGAAAACGAGCAGGTAGTGGGAAGAACGTGCCACCATTCTCAAATCTGATTGGCTTATAGACGAAGGCTGAGTACCAGCAGTAGCAACTAATGGGAAAATAAATTGGGCCAAGCTGCTTGCTAAAACTCAGCAAAATAAAGAAATGTTTATGATCATTGTCACTTTATTGTAAGGTTGCAGATGCCACTCATCATTGCGCTATATTATCCAATCAGCTGTAACTAGTTTGCAGTTCAGATTAATTGGCAGTATGACTAATGGAAGTGCGCCATCTAGTGTCGCTTGCGTGACATCAATCCACCACTTTTATAATTAAATTTTTTTTATTTTGTATTTACTGATTTAAATTTACAGGTTTTTTTTTTTTGGATTGTGCGTTAAACTGAATGTTTTCATCCGGTCGCCACAACAGCACTGATGTGGGCTTTGTTGTAAATAAACGGTTTCACCGTAAAATTCTGTTCCAGGATCGCTGTGCGCCTTTCACTGAAATTAAAAATGAAAAATAAAAAAATTCAAACTTTTGTGCAATAAAAAAAAAAACCACTTGAAAATGGCGACTGTGATTTCATTGCTTTAATCACCGGTGTGGAATGCATCACAGTGGCGCGAAAACACAAGACGATTATGAAAACCGCTGGGATAAAAAAGTTGGCAAGTTTTTTTGGGTTGTTTTTTTTTCAGTGCATCACTGACACAGGTCCTACAGAAACAAAACTAAAATAAAAACAGTAAAACACAAACTTTAGAAAATTAAAACTTAAAAATAGTAAATGGCAGATTATTTAAATGGGGGTGAAATAATACTTTAACAGTGGAAAAATTTCCAAGACGGTTTTGTCCATCAACAGGAAAAATAAAACATCTACCCCAAACAAGTGGAGGCTACGTACAGACGTGAAACATGTTTCTATTTACAATGGGAAGTCACTCCGACCCGACCAGAGGAATGTGACTCGGTGAACAAAAGTGGAACTAAAAACAATTCGAGGGAGGCGTGAGTTGTGTCGATGTGACTACTGATTGGCCGCTTCGCAGGCGTCGATCCAGTCGCTGTAAACATCCACGGGTTCAGAAAGATCTGCAGAGGAGCCGCTGAGGAAAAACATCCTGCTTGTGCTGATTTTTCTAAGGTAACTTGTATTTTCTGCCGCATTTCCCATTCAAAACCTGACATCCCGGTTGGTGTTTTTCCACTTCTGTGTTTCACATGTGATTAGCAGTACAGGAGCACCACAGGGCACTGTACTCTCACCATTTCTTTTCACTCTGCATACTTTAACATCAAAGTGTTTTTGAATTTCAATTCTATTAAAACAACAAAATATTCACTATGAAATATAATAAAATAATGCATCTGAACAGTTGGTGGCACTGTTGCCCTTTAGCGAGAAGGCTCTGTTTTGGAATCAGTCTGGAAACTGTCTGCATGGAGTCTCCATGTTCTCCCCAGAACTGATTACTGCAAAAACCTCACTGTAAAGTTAACTGGTCACTCCGTGACGTTTGTGTCCAGTGTGAGCATCCAATTACTCTGTCCAACTGGCTAAATATTACTAAGACACGTGAAATGCAAGTTCATAAAACTTGGAATCTGTGAGAAAACAGTTACTGTGCCCCAAGATGTCCTTTATGATATTAATATTCTCACACACTGACATTGTGATGTTGATGTATTTGCAATAGAGCTTTTGTCTGAAATAAGGAAAAAACTATTTGAAAAACGGACATCTGCTTTAAGTAGGAAGCTCCTCCAATATTCTGTTGTTTCATCATGAACTTTAGTCTTCCAGAAGAACTCTGCTGCACTTTATGTTCTGTGCAGTGCACCTGCGATTGCCCCGTTTCATTCAGTAAAATATGTTCAACTGAAATAGATTTACCACCTTTCATCATTCGAAAAGGATACATGTTATAGGAGTCTGAAACTCCTCCAAGCACACGCTGCACGATATGATTCCCGTGTTCCGAGTTCTCTCCCTGAAACACAAAATATTGTAAACATCCTTTTTCTTTTGCAATCGGCGTCATTTCAAAAGCAAAGTCAGCTCCATCGCGACCCTCACATCTTGACGTCGCAGGATTTCTCGTGGTTACAGAACGGACAGGTGAACTGGGTGTCCAGGTTGCCCGTCATCTTCTTTTTGGGTGGTGGCTTTCTCTTGGACTTCCTGCGTCCCATCGCGTCCCTGCAGGGGAGACAAACACCACCAGGTCAGTGTTCTCATCAATTGGACATAGTGATAACTGCTTCCACAGCATTTTATTTACTGAAATTATATTGCAGTAAATACACAGGCAGGCACGCCGCACTTTGAAGATCTGATTTCCAAAACTGAGAATCTTCACACTGAATCAGATTATCCCTATAATGTTTTTGTTTTTCAGACTAAAATCAATTCAAACACTATCAATACTTTTGCAAATACATTCCTAAAACCTTTGTTTATTTCAGAATTACTGGATATATTTTCTACTAAAGTTTACGACACGGTTCTCTACGCCAACATAAAGCTAATGCGGCATTTGAAATGTTTGCAAACGCTTCATTTATTGACCGAAGTGCAGAACGACTGAGACAGAAACAACGGCACAGAGATGCTGCAAAGATGTAGCTAGCAGATGCTAGCATGTATATGCTAACAGGTAACTGACGTTTGCCTGGAGCGCTTATCAAGCGGACTAAAGTCCGGCTCTAAACGCGCCGAACCTTCATCTCCGTGCTCTCCCTTTCCACCATTTGACTAATATCGTTACCGTTATCGCACCAAAAATGATGACAGCAGCGGAGGATGCTCAGGAGTTCGTTTACCAACCCGTTGCGTAGCCAACATCTGTTAGGACGTCGCCCATTGGTCAGGCGAGGCATTACGCGGGCTCTGGCTCCAAACTGTCCAATAGTGACGCTCCTTCTCTAATACCCGCCTCCTACCGGAACATAGAATAGAATTGGTTTGGATATTTCTGTGTAGAGAAATACATGAAATGATGAAGAATTTCTCTACTTAATATAAGGTGAAGGTTGCGTTTTAGTTTAAGCTACGTGTGAATTAAATTGCGTCGTGTACTCTGAAAGAACGATGTTTTATATTCAGCAAAAATAAATAAAATATCACAAATAAAATATTGTGGTGAAGTTTGTCATTTAAACAGGCTGGTGCTGTGCTGCACGTGCTGCAGTAAATGAAACACCTACGTGAGATGCGGAGAAGCTGTGACAATATATGTCGAAAATGAACCAATTGAAAACAGTGTCACGACCAAACGGTCGCTTAGCCAATAATGTGATTGGTCTTTTTCCATGAAAGAGGCGGGGCTATTGAGTCCAGAAATTTGACAGAGGAAGTTGCTGTCCCTATGAACTTTGGTTCGTCGATAAACGGTGGTTGTCCTTCCTAAAAGCGCTCTGGACTAAGGTAGGCATTGTTTTTTTTTGGGGGGGGGTCATGCTGAAGAAGTTCAGCGACTTACTTATCCACGACTTACTTATTAAAAGTAAAATAATAAGAATAAAGAATAAAGCCAGTGCAGCTTCGGTGGTTGTACTTGTGTAACTGTGCTAGCTGAGTGGCTAACAGCTTTTCTTGTTCTTTGCAATTTAGATTGTTTCTACACCTTCCTCCTCAGTATATTGTCTTTGCTACGCTTGCATATAATTTTACCATGAATAAAGTATGGAGTGACATTACTGTTCTCCCTCCTTCTTCTTATCTCAACCTGGGTTGCTTATCTTGTCTGCTGCATGAGCGAAGTTGAAGCGTCAGTGACACCCAAATTTTTTTTCATTTTTTATCTGTGAGACCATTCGTTTTGCTCAAACGTCTTGTTTGGGAAAATAAAAATAAAACGATTTATTTTGCAACCGATTACAAGGTTTTGTTTTTACTGGTGGGAGCAGCTTATTTATCATTTCAAAAGCTGAAATGATACCTGAACTATGACCCCAGCTCCCAGAGGAATTGACCAGGAGGCTTCCATTCCTTGGCAAATGGCAGGAGGAAAATAAATTGATTGTTGGATTTTATTCTGACTTAGAAATTAGAATGTAAAAAGTGTTGTTTGTGTTTACTTCAGCACCCATAACTGAATGGCTTGTCAAACACCGTACAAATAAATAAATGGGTTAATGGCAGTTTACCTGAATTGCTGAGGACTCTTGACACAGTAACTGAAAATAATCAGTCGTCCTATTTTAGGATGTTAAATAGTTTTGTACAAAATCTTAACAAAAATACCTGAACTCCACTCTGGAGTTCTGTTCTCCGAATTGGTAAGATTAACAAAATGGGACCTGAAAACAAATATTGGCGATAAAACACTGAATCCATGTCTTGTTTTCGAGTTTTGGGACCTAAAAGTCATGCCATGCACAGCCAACCCTTTTAGAACAGCGACCCCAAGTGGCTGGAGGAATGATCGGGTTATGGACCTGATGAAGTTGCTTAAATATGCATCTTTCCTCAGGTTGTGAGAACCACATTTTTCACTATCCGTCTTGTGTCCGTAGCGATGCCATGGCGACGGAGGGGGAGCCGACCGACGCGATCAAAGTGCTGCACCTGCTGCTGCTCGCCTTCACCTGGGGCATGCAAGTCTGGGTCTCCTTCATCGGAGGTAAGCGTGGCCCAAACCGGCAGAGGAGGCCGGTTTGGGTGTTTCCGGCGCGCCAGAAGCGTTTCCGGCGGTGACTCTGTCTGCTTCCCCCGTGTTTTCAGGTTTCGCTCTGGTGAAGCAGGTGTCGCTGCATACCTTCGGTTTGGTCCAGAGCAAGCTGTTTCCTGTTTACTTCTACTGCCTGCTGGGAAGCAACTTCACCAGCCTGGCCTTGTACGCCGTGTACCACCCCAGAGAGCTGCTGGACTGGCATGAAAGCGTGCAGGTGAGCATCAATAACTCCCTCTTTGACGGTAAAAAAATAAATAAATACTGTCGGTTTGCCGTCGTTTTCTCTCCCTCTCGTCGCCCAGATGCTGATGTTCTTCGTGGCGCTGATAACAGCGGGCCTGAACGCCCAGTGGTTCGGCCCAGCGGCCACCGAGGTCATGTTCCAGATGAGGGCGGTGGAGGAGGAGCACGGTCTGGGGAACCAGGTGGGGCTGGGCAGCCAGAGGGAGGACTACGCCAAGCTGAAGGAGCAGGACCCAAAGTACCGGGCCCACAGGAAGACGTTTGGGCGGTACCACGGCCTGTCCAGCCTCTGCAACCTCGTCGGCTTCCTCTGTGTCACAACTAACCTGGTCTACACCGCTCTCAAGCTGTCCACCATTTAAACACCGGTCATGTCAGGTCCGCAGGTATTCATGCGGTATTCACAGTTTTCCACTTTTTATTATATAAAGAAAAAAAGTCTTATTGGGGATGTTAGTGCGACAAACATAAAAAAGTACTAAAGAGGGAAATGGTATTTAAAATCTATGGGGGACATAATGCAAACATCAACTAACTATATAGAACAAAAAGATGCAAAAACAAACAAGCGAGACGCTTGGATGTTTAAGAATAAAATATAGTACATTTAATAAAACAAACCCACCGTCAGAAATATTAAACAAAAAGGGAGAAAACTATTTTTTAAACTGAAAAGTTCCAATAATGGTTTAGTTGGGGTTGAATTGAAAGAACCTGCATGTCTAAACAAAATCTTCTCCAATAAGAAGAAGTTATTTATAACAACCACACTATATTATTGTCTGAGACTGGAGCAAGTAAATTTTTATAGTAAAGTCAACATCAAAACTTCTTATAAAGCCCCAAAAGACCTTGTAAGTTTAATTTCAGGAATATAAGTATTTTTAAACTGCATCACCCTGAACACATCATCCCCACAGGGAAACATGGTGGTAGTAGCATCATGTTTTATTTCTGTAGAGAGAGAGGAAGATGCAGAAATGTTTTGAAGTTTGTGGAACATTTGCATCTCGTATTGATGTTCCATTAAAAACCATGTTTCTTTTTCTTGTCACTTCTCAATCACACCACATTGTGTCTGCATACCGCATAAAAGTTGGCCACATTTGTGGTTGTGTCATGACGCGAATGTGAAAGTGTTCAGGGTATAAATAAGACTGAGCGAGACAATACTTGGATGTAGACTACTTTATGTCATAAGTGATCCAGAATTTGAAATGTATTTTTGCACTCACAGCACAGGCGGGCGGAGATGCGCTGACGGCGCGATGTCGATCTGAGCAGAGATTATGGAACAAACATGCACCTGTTGCCGACGTTTACTGAGGAAGTTATGAATCCATTATTTTTCTTGTAAATGATATTTTTCTTGTAAATGATACGATGATATTTTTGCTTTTATTACAAATACCTTGTTTGCTGAACATGCTGTTTCAACAATGTGAAACAAATTCGAGCATCTTTTTGCAGTTGCTTTGTTTCTCCAGCAGATGGAGACACTCAGCCATAATTTCCTAATCCGTATCAATGTTGATGCTGCATTTCAGTTCTATTGTTGCATTATGTAAGAAGTTTTTCAGTTTGAAATTAACACTGTGAATAATAGAATAAATAGATTTATGGATTATTTCCCTGTGTACTTGCAGAATCTGTTAAACAACGATGCTGTCCTTGTATTATTATTATTTTTCCTTTATTTTCACACTGGAATCCCATTTGGTGGCTTTTAATGAAATGTGATGCACATCAGGTTATGAGAGTACTTTACAGGCTTGCCACAGGGAACCACTGTTCCTATTGCACTATCAGCACTAATGGCTTATAATGGAGTCCCTCTTAATATTGAAAGGTTGGACTTCTATGAAAAGGATGAGCTTGCGCAAATGTGAATTAATTCCAGCTTGGCGTCGCAAATTTCTTTCTAGTAAATATATAATCTCCCTGACAATTGTGTTTTTGTCAACGCTATGTACCAGAGTAACATGTTACACAGGTAGGTTTGGTTGTGGGAAGCAGTTTGACCTCCCATCCTGTGCCTTCTGGGAAGCATTCCCTAATCTGTCTCAGTGCCATCAGGAAGTAAACCTTGTTTGGCCAGAGAACAAGTTTATCCACTCCTCTCACCTGAGATGGAACAGAGGAGAGATTTCAGATGAAATGTTTCCATCTTCAGTGCAGATCAAACATGAAGGAAACCATTTTGATAAAACTTCCAAAAATGTGTATGTCGGAAGGACCATAAAATGTTTTAGGACAGTACATGAACCTGTCTTAAAAAGGTTTATGTGGCACCAGAAGGTAGTTTGTTGGACTGGCAGGAGGTGACATGATTCCAGAGATGGGAGGAAATAAAAGTTGCAGCCTGATTTGTCTGAGGAGGAAACGGTAAAACCAGCAGGAATTAAATTAACCGTTCCAACAGACTACTGAGGGTGCTCTTCACTGTTTAAAATGGATTTTTTGCCACCGCAAAAAATCAGACGCTCTGTTTTAACTCTCCTACGGCTTTAGCAGGACGCTCAGGAGGAGCCCTTAAAGTATCACGGTTGGACAACGGGAAAGCGGGACGTTGTCCCGTCAGACGGTCAGTTCCTAAAACAACACACACAAAAAACTTGTTTAAAAAAAAAACTCATGGGGATCAAATGACTATTTTTAAGACTATAGGGGTAATTTTGTCTCAATATTTGATTGCTTATCAGGACAGGTTTCTAAATCCTGGTTTGAAATGACTGGTTTCTGAACCTTGGTTTGAAACATTGTCCATTCCAACTGGACAATGTTTAGGAACATGTCCAGTTGGAACCCCTGAATGTGTCCAAGTGTAAATCATCTGACAGATATTCAGAGTCTTATTTTTTAAACTGACATTGTCCAGTTCTGGTCACATACCATCTGGTCACAAGTTCAGTTTACCTTAACTTTAGGTTAACTTTAGGTAAACTGAACTTAAAGTTTACAGTTGGACTTCTTATGACGTATATATGCTCTTCCACTTCAGAACTAAATGCTTTTAAAGCACGAATAAAGTACTTCGAGCTTTCACTGTCGCTCGAAGGCGGAGATAGCCTACTATAAAGCGTTGCTTGAATTTTGTCGAAGGTGCGCGCGTGCTGCTCACTCCCAGGCGAGCGCGCGCCCAGCCCTCAGTTGCTCAGAGCGTCTCGCGCTGCAGCTCGTGGACTCATCCTGTCAGTCGGGACCATCATCCAGAGACGGCGGCTCCGGGTCAGCAACACAGGGACGATAAAAAAAAATAAATAAATAAAAATAAAAGTAGGGTTCTGTGAGAGGAAGCACATCGGCTGCTGTCGCTCCTGTCAGTGGAACAGGAAGAGGGTTTCTAGGAGCAGTTCACCGGCTAGATAAACACACCGGTACCTCCCGGGCCAGGCAGAATAGAGCAGAACCAAACAGCCGAAAAGGGAACCAAGTTGGGCGGTTCGTTCACTGAAGAGGTAAGCGTCTCGTACCGGGCGGCGGCTGCTTGCTACACTCTTCCTTTTCTTTCTTTCGCCTTACCGTGTAGCAGCATGACTCTCACTGTTTACTTGCAACAACACTTAATATTTTGTATTTTTTACTGTTTCGTCATTTATTGAGGCGGAAGCGTCTTGGAGTCTGTTCCCCTTGTCAAATAAAAAAAAAAAACAAACAGAAAACATCACTTTCTCTTCTTGTTTGAACCCTCCTCCTAATCAAGGAACAGATGAGGCAGCTGGCTGAAAATCAACAGTGTCCATTTCCTGTTGGTTGGTTGTGCAAACAGTGCCAGCTGAGGGACCTGGCTGCACCGTCATCAGCACCGGCCTGTGTTTGTTCCACTGAAACACAGTAATGAGGCACAGAGTTAGCTTCGCTGCATGGAGAGAGGTCACTGTTCTGATATGACAGCTGGTGTGGGACTCCTTCCCAAAGCCATCCATCCCTTGCACCACAGTGGGATCTGTTCAACCAGGTGATCTATCAGGTCAATGTCTTTCTCTAGGGATGTTTCCTCGGGTTCCTAGTGTAAAAGTAGATCACTTCAAGTTGTCCACTTGTAGCAGTAAGTACATGCAGATTCCCCCCTATGGGTCCCTGACGTAGCGATGATGTGACTGAAGATCCCAGAGCCAGTTTCTAACCTCAGGTTTACATTAAGCATCTGACAGAGGAGGATTGGGGAAACGCCTCAGCTCACAATGAAAACAAAAGTCATTTCAGCAAGGGGTGCACCGACTGCACTTTTCTTGGCCAATCACCGAGCTTTAAAAAAGCCTGACCTGCCCATTCCAATTTTAGTCAATGCTGACGTTTTTTTTTAAATTAATTAATTAATTTTTTTGTCCTAAATTTGTTAAATCTAGTGACTAAGTTGGCAACAGCGGTCGCCAGTGGTCAATTGTCCAATTGCCGATTGGTGCCAAATTTCCTATGTATAATTCCGTTTTATATATTTATGAATTGGTGCTTATATGCGTTCTGTCTTTAACATTGCTTGTTGTTCTGCATGTTCGAAAGCCTGGCTGCAAAACAAATTTCCCCCTTAAGGGGGGCACAATAAAGAAACTGAACAATCTCCCAAAATTAAGGAATTATCAACTTATCAATGCATCCCAGAATTGAATTAGATTTTTAGCTATTCAAATTGCTCCACTTTTAATCTTGTGTTAGTTTTTTTAAGTAAAACATTCACAACTTTGATTGCATTGAATTTGAAGTAAACAGTGAGCTTTTTTCCACTTGTTCTTTCAAGCAGAGAAATTCAAGCCTGATGTTTACATGAAAAGTTTTTGACTAAATATTATATAAACTGAGTAAAAGTCATGAGGTGCCATACAAATTGAAAGTTTGTAGCAACATTTAACTAGTTCAGTGACAGTGCTGTCGAACTTGCAACACCATAAAAACTGATATATGTGAGGTTATTTAATATTACCTATTAACACCAGTTATTCTCATTAGTTGTGTCACGTGTCCAGCGTATCTCAACACAGTTAAAAGTTTTAAAACTCTCATAAAACTTGTTAAAAGTTTCTGCTTTAACAGAATTGTAGTTTAACTTGTCTTAGCTTACAATAGATTTTAAAAGTGTTACTAATGTCTTCATCACAAAGAAAGCTCTTTTTTAACACACTGAACATACTATAAACGAAGATGAAATAATTTGTCAATCATTTTAAAAAGTTTACTTTTATATTCTGTTTCATTTAATTCTGTGTATTAGCTGAAGTAAATACATTTTGTTTAATTTTGAAATCGTGATGTTAGATTAATTGCATGCCTGTTACATTCATTTTATTGGTTGAGTTGTAACATTTTTTTTTTTTAATTTTCAGCAGCACAATACCTAGAAAACTTTTCTCAGGGGAAAAATGACTGCGCTTGTAGAAAACATGGGCCTGGCTTCCTTTTTAAATAATGAGCAAAAGTTGTGAAAGAGTGTCATTTGTACTACAAGCAACAGCGTTTCGCCATCAACCAGCACACAGGACGCCACAAGTCTGTGGGCGTATTAAACAAGAAGCAGAAGATGTTTGAAAGACAAACAGCTGCAAAATGTGTGCAATATTTGTTGGTGTTCCGATAATGTCGACGCAATCCAAGTTTCGCAGTTGCCGCGTTTCCACTGAATGAGAAATACAGTTAAAATCCGAAAATTTTTTTTTCCAAATTTCAGTATAACTGAAAAACCACCTCATGCTAGCATCGAAACTTTTTTGTTTTTTAAATTGGAAATTTTTATTTTCTTTTTTTTTTTGCAATTGGATAATTTATTTTTGTAAGTGCAATTTACACATTTTTCTTAAGCTGGTGTGAATACAACTGTAGAAAGTAAAACCTACCAACATTTAAATTGAGAGCAAAATGAACTTGGGGGGGGGACAACCTTTGGCTTCCTGCTTTGTCACTTTCAGATATGCAAGATATTTTTAAGCTAAATAATTGAAAAAATTATTAACATTTCAATAGAAAGTCACATGAGCTTAAATTGACTCATGGTGCTTGTGTGGAAGGGACTCGACCTCTCATAACCTGCGCTTACTTTGCAACTACTTGCGTTGATGCGTTGAGTGACATGCTGAAATGTGCAGTCGCGTTGTTTTTTTAATCTCTTTGCCGTCATAATGCCACCAGATCATATCTCTATATCTCCACCTCATGCTGAAAACCTCCATTTAGCCACTTAAAAGTCAAACAAACTGACTGCTCTGACCGCTAATGGGTCTTGCACGCAGCCGAATCGTGCTCTGGTCTCCACGGAGACGGGGTCTCGGTCTCGGTTGGCCGGCGCGGCGTTGCGGCGATTGATCAGCCTTGTGCTTGAAAGCATAGAGACGGCCAGCCCACTGCTCTCCACTTAATACCCAAAAGCCGAGCAGCTGCTCCCCTCCTCCCACTGTTTGGTCAACTAACAATGAAAGGGCCTGATGGCAGGTAATCTCACATCAGCCCTCTGGAGAGATGGCAGAGATTAACACTTTTAGTAAAGCAGGTGGCAGGGCTTTGTTTATTCAGCACTCTCAAACCTTTACATGTCGTCTCTTACACATATTCATCTGTCTCCTATTTGATCCACTATTGATTTTGTATGTTTTTCCTTCTATAAATAACATTTTACTGTGTGGTAAGAGACTGTGTATTATCCACTTCTCCTGAAAACACAAACCTCCTCTGGGACAACGTGAAGCAGGAAAACGGACTCAAATTCTGAATCGATTAAAGCAGGGGCATCTGAAGTGTGACCCAGGTGCCATTTGCCAAACTTGCATTGATTATATGTGGCCCTTTTATCACAGTTCAAAAATAGCCCAAGTTTGGTTTGCCAGGTCAGTTGACGTTGCAATAAATTAATTAATCGCATGATGAATTAAACAGGCTTGATAAGTTCCATTTGCATGATTTATCGTTTTTCTCTCTTTCTACCAAAAACTGCATGACAAAAGTCTTCAGACTGGTTCATTGGTCTCAGATACCCGCTTTTTTTTTTTTTTTGAAGGGCAATTTAGTTTAAAAACGAATTCTGACGCCTCTGCATTGTTGTTTTTGTTCATTTACTATGGATATTAAAAATGTCTTCCAGTTCAAATGCTAAATGTTCATTAAAATTTAACCTGAATTGATCTCAATAAAGTTTTCTTGCGTTATCGTGCCATTAGCATTACATTATTTTATTACTTGATAATAATCTCAAAACAAGAATATTATCATTTAACTCAATAATTTCTGGGACAAGTTATTGTCCAGAAAAAAATGTATCATTGACAGGGCTAGATGCAGATCTACATTTAAAAACAAATTTAAGGTAAATTAAAAAAATCTATATATATATAAAAAAGAAGAAGCTGCAAGGTGCAACATAAAGCATTCATCCAGGTTTTTGTCTTGAACTTTATTTATTAGTAATGGGGACCAAAAACATCCAGTGGCTGTTACTGAAATGCAGACTTGGACATGCCCATTTAATACACTTAGCAAAGTAAAGCAAGAGTGAGTCACATCCTGTTCTTGTTACTGAAAAGATGCAAAGAAAAGTATTGAAAAATGTAGGATATGTTTGCTGTTTCTTTCTTAAATCTGTCTTACCCTCCAGGTTGTGTGTTTTTTTTTATTTGCTCTGTTTTAAATCTACAATGATTTATGCATCGCTTGACTACAGAAATCTTACTGCTTTGCTTATTTCATTAAAATATTGAGTTTATTTAGCAGGTGAGAATTAAAGTGCAGTTATAGTTAAAAAGAAAAATACTACAAATTCTGTGGCCCTGGTGTAACTTTCATAACATTTGTGGCCCCAAGCTAAAGGGTTTGGACACCACAGGTTTAAAGGGCCTCCATGGTGGCTTTAGTGACATCTGTTGGCAAGTTGTAGATTACAACAACCTAAATATTACTGACAATGTTGGTAATCTTGTTGAAACTTTTAAAAGCTGATAAAACTATCTTACTTAGTGTGACATTTTTGTATCACGCTTTAGCTAGGATGAGAGTCTCATGGTACGTTGACCTAAGAATACAACAAAAAAGTTGTATGAAAATATTTAATTGCTCTGTTTGAAAACAGAAAATGAACAATTATTCTTACTGCTTCAAAACTAATCTAACATATTGATGATTCAAATTTGGATAATGTCATCCAGAACATTTCTTTATTGTTGTTTTAGTTTTCATAAATTAACCAGTCTCTCCTGATGTGTTTTTTTTTTTTTCAATTTATGAATTAAGCCTTCAGATCAGCATCAAAACCCTGCGACATTTGATAATACACAAGCAGTTCTGGTTAATTGACTTTTTTCTGCATCTATGTATATATTTTGGAAGATGTTTAATCAGAAAAAATGTTACAAAATTTTCCGCAAATATTTCTAAAGTAGAACCAGGGAGATTGATTAATCTAGGAAGAAATATATGATAAACTCTATCTGGATTAAGAATCGGTTCCCAGATGTTTTGGACTCTCGTCTCATGAACGGTTAAATATTGTTCCAGATGGCATCTACCGACTCACGGCTCCATCAGCCTCCCTCGCAGAAAGACGCGGCCGACCAAAACTTCGACTACATGTTCAAGCTGCTGATCATCGGGAACAGCAGCGTCGGAAAGACCTCCTTCCTGTTCCGCTACGCCGACGACTCCTTCACTCCCGCCTTCGTCAGCACGGTGGGCATCGACTTCAAGGTCAAAACCGTCTTCCGCAACAACAAGCGGATAAAGTTGCAGATTTGGGTGAGTGAGTGAAACCGGAATTGAGAGGTTATGCCACGCCAACTTTAGGATGAACAACTAGCAATTTGAATGTCTGTAATAGGCAGTGATGGGATAGTTACTTTGAAAAAGTAACTAACCAAATTATTGACAACCTGATTTGGAAAGTAAATTACTTTAAAAGTAACTTTTAGTTACTTTCAGCTTCTGCTAACAACAACACTCCACCACCTCTGAACATTACACTGAGCTTTGCCAATACTTAATTGCAAACTATTTTACAATAGTAACATCAACAATGTATTTCCACTCATATTGTTGAACTGAAGGGGAGATCGTTTAATGGTTACAACAGTACAAAAAGAAAAACATTAGTGTGTGTTTGTGTGGTCCACTGTTGTCTGGAAAACTCAAAGAAGGATCTTAAAGCCCCCACCTTTACTTCCAAGCCCAAATTAGTAACTTCACGTTCAAAAACGAGCCCAAAAAGGCGCAGCGCGCAACTCGTTAAATTTGCAAGCGACTTTAAAAAAAATAAAAACAAGCCCAAAGCCACTTATAATAATTTGGCAACAGAAAATCAAAATAATTCCTGTTTTTCCACCAACAAAATGCACATCTCTCTCCTCCTTCAACTGCTTACATTTTTGTCGCTGCTGATACTGTCGCATACAATCGCCGATCACTCGACAAGACGCATAGAGGAAATGCAATTAAATTCCCAAAGAAGATATTAACGCAAAGTGATTTCGATAAGTAACTGTAATCTGATTACTAGATGTGAAATAACATGTCGTTACTGAAAAAGTGACCCGACGTCAGTAATGCATTACTTTGTAACGCGTTACTGACATCACTAACAATAGGGATTACTAGAAGTGGAAACCTTTGGGTGCCTGTGTTTGTCTCTGTGGGGTTGGCCCTGGAGCAAGTTTTTCTCGTCAGTCATGCAAATGCAGAAGAATGATTTCCTCAAGTTTTCACATACTTACTTCCGACTCTTACCTGGCATCTGCTGAGAGTTCCTGGTTGACGCTTGGGGAGATGGTTGTGCTGATTAAGGAGGTGTGGCTCTATTTCAGGTTTCCAGAGTTGCACTTCATGTGACAAAGCTCAGCTTAAGCCCAGGTTAAAAAGAGTTAAAAGACTTGTCAAGTTTTTATTGGTTTATTTTAAATCAATCGTTTTTGACGTCATGTTTAAACACGACTTTACAAAGACTAAAGACAATAACGCTTTCAATTTTTTGATTAGGATTCAGGTATTTCATTGTCATACCAGCTCATGTTTGCATATTTGCGGTGGGAAATTCAGACTTGGAATAAATCCAGATATAAATCCAGATTGGTTTTGCCCCAGGGGCTGATTATAGGGGCAGGTTTGAGCGAGACCCAGACCTACAGGAGGGCTCTGGAGTCTCAGAACGTCACAGCACTTTATGCAAACACTTTATGAGTTTATAAACCTTTATGACATTGTCACGTTTGTGTTGGGTGGTTATTTATACAGAATCTATCAGTCATTTACAGGACGAATGGAGGCAGGAGAAGGTCTGACACCAATCATCTTCCTGTGAAAAAGCTTAAAGAAACAAAGGGATTGTAAAAATTTACTTAAAAGTATTTATTTTCAATACTTTTTACATATATTATTGTTTTTTTCTTTCACCACCTAATGCAAATGCAGTGACAGTGCCAAGGTTCATATAAAATAGCATTTGCATCCATTACTGTGTGTTGTGTTTTCTAGGTTTGAGATGGTACTTTGGTCTTCTGCCATCTTAAATTTATGTTTCTAACATTAAGACCTTAAAATATTTTAAATTAATTTACAAAGTAAGTTCTCCTTAAATACGTTAATCTCAGGTCTTACATTTTAGTCTTAGGGCCTATTTAATCTCCTATATTCTGTGTTTATTTTCTTTTTCTTTGGGTGCAATTTTCTGTCAGAAAAAAGTTTGAATCACACACAGATGTCTTCATTACGCGCTGTGACTAGTTGAAAATCCTTGCCAGCTAGCTAACTAGTTCTTTGTGTTTATCATGGGTAAATGCAGATTTGCTTTAATGTATTTTGTGTGTTTTTTATTTTTGGAATTTTGAAATTTAATTCCTAAATGTCTTAAAATGTCTCAAATTTGAGTTGATGAATTTGGGAGAAAATGAAGGACATTGGTACCGGTTTATGGGGCGCGTTCCTACTTTTCATGGACGTCAGAGCAGAATACTCGCATGACAGACAGCTAGCTACAGCAGCCAAAACAGATTATTTCAGTATCCTTTAAACGAAAAACGCCATATAAAACAAAGAATCAGAAGCAAAATGATCCTTTCTCTGAACCTGTTGTGTCCAGATTTCTGTTTTTGACTGGACTAATTTTCCATCTTTCCCCTCCAGTACTAGTCTCAGGTAATGTCTGCTCCACCCACCTGTCTGCTCCTAACAGGAACCAACCAATCCTATTGGCAAGTCCAGCAGATGATTCATTTGAACTAACAATCTGTGAGCCCCTGTATGCTACACAAATAGTGTGCAACATTAATCAGCAGCACACCAAAACACACATCCAGTCGCCTGCCTGACCAAACATTTGGCTCTCGTACTCTGTGTGCCATGTTAGTATGCTATCTAGAACAGAGTGTCTGCTGAAGTAAAGTCCTTCAACTTGTTGACTACAATCAGAAGACCTGAGTGGTCTGGAAAGCTGTTCCAACGACAACAAGTCTTTAATGTATTTTGGTGTAACACCCTGTTTGGTATATAACAAGCTTTCTTTTACCAAAGTCATCATAAAACTGTGTGTGGCTGCCTGGTCTTGGTGGAGTCAGTAACTGTGCTGCTAAATGACAAAGAAACCTGGTATTTCCTGAGCCCAGGAAGCAGAGGAAGTAGCCAATCAGCATCTGACCAGGACACAATGGAGATTCATTGCAGTGCCAGTGCAGCAGCGTGTTTAAGGGGTGTGGAAGCAGCAGGCATGTCTTACTTTCGGGTCCTCATGCGCAGTTAATCATCAGCTCTGTAAAAATGTCCTCACCGTTAATAATTTCATCTTGCAAATATTTCACTATATCCCTCAGAACAGGCGAAGCGTTTTCTCTTTTGGGCCCCGTCTTTTCGTCAAACGTGTCGCTGATCTCACAGTAAACACAGACACACCTTTCATATACACTTTGCATAAGCACACCCAGACATATGGTGAGTGTGCAGTCAGTGTGTGTCATCCCAGAGGATGCGCTTTGCTGCTTCTTTGTCAGCAGCCAATCTAAACACAGGTGACGCATGTTTGAGGAGCAGGGTCCCAGTGACGTCCGACTACCCGGCTGTGCAGGAGCCTGATTTAAACTGCTTCACACACACGCACACACACACGCATGCATATAGGGAGGCAGGTCCTGTCCGCTGTTGTGGTTTGTTTTGTAGCAACCCTCAATACACTCTGTTTGGTTAGCTGTCACATCTTGCTGGCTAATATTTGATTCTTTCTGCATGGTTGAGATGGCAAGGGAGCTGAAGTGACTCTTGTTTCACTAAAACCAGATCCTGGAGCAATAAAGGGAGAATTCAAAGGTTTCCATACGAGGTGCTGCTCTGTCCTATGCATTATGTAGAAAGATAAGATGTGAGGCCGCCACCTGGTAATAGAACATTCATAACCCTTTCTCAGTTTCTGGTTACCTACATGACCTGCTCGGTTTCAAAGCGAGGGAAACAGCAGACAAACACTGGAACACTCACCAAAGCCCTGTTGCAAACCGAGGAGTCTGGAATGTTACTAGGGCTGAAACGATTAGTCAGCATTAATCGTGACAGTCAGATTAATTGCGGTTGATAACAATTAAAAGCGATTCATCAGAATAATTGTGATTAACTAGAATAATCATGATTGATTGCGACGAATTGTGATTAATTGATTGTTGAAATAATCGCCAAATTAGTAATAGATTGATGTTGTTCATTCGGCAAATTGACTTGCAGAATGAACAACTTAATCAGAAAAGTAATTAAGCCAAAACTTTTCAAAAGTACATTTTACATCTAAGAATAGAAAAATAAAAATGTGTCTGTAATTCTGCTCTCGTCAAAACTCAAGTGTTATTTGTGACACATTGAAAACTTGTGGTTGTAACATGACGAGATGTAAAAACAGGTTGTTTTTTGTTGAACTGTTTTGTTTTTATCATGTAAAGCACTTTAAGTTGCCTTCATGCTGAATCTGCAGATAAACTCAACTCAACTTGATGGTTTTACCGACTGAGAAAAACTTTAGTTCAGTTTTTATAGAAAGGTTAAAGGCTTCTCTGAAGAAAGGTGCATGAAGATGAAGATTAGACTCTTTTTTTTTTTTTTTGTAATTTCCAGGAAAGAAAAATTAGGAAAAATATAGCTGTATACTTCCACAATATTTACAAAAAAATTGTGTTTTGGAAAGTTTCTCAGAGATGGTCATTTCAAGTTTTAAATAGTTCGAAGACTCGCGTTGAAATGCACCAGCATTTCCAATGGCAAATTGCTATTGGAACAAAAGGCAACTATAACGTTGACCACACTGCCCCCTTGTGGTTGAACCTGATACATACTTGATCACACATGAAAAGATTGATTCTCCTGATTTGTTGACCAGAATCAGAGTTGTACAGGAACTAGTTACATTTACCTTTTGGAAAAAAGATGGACATTTTGACTCCGCTGTAGTTTTTACTTTTAATTGAGTAACTTTATTTTGAAGAATAGCTATGGTTACTACCCACTCTGAGGAACTTCACAGAGTGAAGAACAAGATTGTTTTAGCCAAAAATTCACCAAACACAGACACACACCTGCAGTTTGTTGGTTTTATGAGTTTTATTTTGAAAGATACTGCTTTGGAAATTTTTTTTTCTTTTGCCACATTTTTTGTTGTTACTTATGTTGTCATTTAAATGTCCTGAACATGCCAATATTTCCACTTTACTTAATATTTTGGTCTTTCTGATTGTAACTGAGTCACCTTTTTGCAAAGCACTTTTTATTACTCTTACTTGAGTCATTTCTTGTTTGGCTCCTTTTTACTTGGACATGTAGTTTACTTGGACTCTTTCTTGAGTATAACTGTTGGGTACTGTTTTCACCTCAGACCAGAATAAACACAGCGTGACTTTGAAGATTGAATGTTTCTGACGGTGTTTCTGTGTTTACGTCCCCGCAGGACACAGCGGGACAGGAGCGCTACCGTACCATCACTACAGCGTACTACAGAGGAGCCATGGGCTTCCTGCTCATGTATGACGTCTCTAACCAGGACTCTTTCGGTGCAGTGCAGGACTGGTGAGTAAACAAGTTAAATCTTCGCCTTTTTGTTCGACTTTCTCAAAAGTGAATGACTAGTACCTGTTGTAAATGTAAGCTCCCAGTCCTTTATTTTGGATTTATCTGATCCTCATGTTTCTTTAATATTTCCCGCATTTGCTGAAATGTCCCTCTGCTGAATGTTCTTCCTCTTTTCTTATTTGCATCTGAAATCCTCCGGTGGCTGGTGACTAGTGGGATCTTGTCTTTCAGGGCGACACAGATCAAGACGTACTCATGGGACAACGCTCAGGTCATCCTGGTTGGTAACAAGTGTGACCTGGAGGATGAAAGGGTCATAGCCACAGAGGACGGCCAGCGGCTGGCTGAGGAGCTCGGTAATTGCTGCAGTAGTGCATTGTTACGCCCCCACGGTCTAGGGCCCCAGGGGCGGTAACATAAAAATGTGTCCAGAGAAAATAAGTGGAATGTAAAAAGATTTATTACAAAAAACAAATGGTTTCACAAAACCAAAACACAGTACAATTTAACAAAAACGTTCGAACCTACTGAAGAATGTTAAGTGCATATTAGTTTACAAAATGTTCAAATAAGTCTGAGGTAAACTTAAAAAACCCAAAAGGGAAAGGAGGAAAAAACACACACAAAGGGAGCACCAAGCCTGCCAAACATGAGGTTCTGGCTTGTGAAATCAAACTTCTCCAAAGTCAAACTGTTTAGCAGAACAAGCAAGAAGAGAAATGTCTCAAAATTGCACAAAGCAGTGAAAAGGAAATAGGTGGGGGACAGCTTAACAAAACCTTTTCAGGAGTCTTTTATACGGTGCAGGTTGGCCTCATCAGCGTCTCATTGGCTTGACAATCCTCTGCTTGTGCAATGAGGTCGCTGCCTGTTGAGTTTTTCTCTTAATGTTATCAGAATATTGATCAGGTTTTGTGCACATTTGCAATGGAAACACAGCAAGAGTAGGTGGAGGTGGTTCTACAAAAACATTGTCATGCATGTCACACATCTTCATTTTTATTTGCAAGAGATGCGCCACTACTTTGCGTCAGTCTGTCACACGCAACATCCCTGTGAGGATCAAAAATAAACATTGGACGCGGTTAGAAGGGTGGGAGGTGCTTTCCGGACATGAGCAGCAACATATTGACAACATAAAAACACGGAGCACCTGGAATGTGAAAAACTTAGTATGGGTAGAATCTTTTTTTTTTTTTTTTTTTTTTTTGAAGGCACTTCTGCCGTTTGCTTCCAGGCTTCCATTTCTTCGAGGCCAGCGCCAAGGACAACATCAACGTCAAGCAGGTGTTTGAGTGTCTAGTCGACGTCATCTGCGACAAGATGAACGAGACCATGGAGGAAGAGAACAACCTCACAAACAACCACATGAGCCACGGCTTCAAAGACTCCTCAGAAAGCGGCGGTGCCTGCGCCTGCTAAGCAGCGGGCCTTTCTAGAACGTCTCCAAACACACACACACACACACACTGATATGAAGAACAACTTCCACTCTGTGCCTGTACTGTGGAAAGTGCTAGAGGGCCAGTTAGCTAAATGGCTAACAGGCTAAGTGGCTACCTGAGACGATCTTGGTTTGGCCTCTCCAACAGGGCTGTCGCTTCCCCTAAAATGAAGCGTTTCTTTCCTATCTCTGTTCTTTTTCTCTTCTTTTGTTTTTTGTTTTGTTTGGTGTTATAACTTATAACTGTGTTCTGAAGCTTCTCCAAGTTTCAACATCCTGGGCTAATCAGCATTTAATACTGCCAGTGCCTGCTTTGTGGATTTGGTTTTCTAACCATCGGGAAACCACTGCACACCGATCCAATGATCGATGCATCCAACAACACTTGTACCACAATGAGATATTTGCTATACATTTTTATTTAATATGTATTTTATAGGAAAAAAATGTAAATCTCATCATGTACCAAAGTCACTTTACCTTGTGGATTTTAACATCTGCCAATATATAAGATTTGCAATGATTTTTTTTTTGTCTGTTTTTTTTTTTTTTTTTTTTTTTTTTACAAAAGTGTGGAGAAAATACAATAACTGTACAAATGTAGATAAATCTGTTGGCACCTGTGGTAAAGCTGAGTATGAAAAATTAAATAAAATCTTTTATCGCAGCAAAACTCAAACCTTCTCTTTAAGAAAATGTTTTCAGTGTTGGAAAACAAATAAGACGTTGGGAAATGATTAGTTTTGAGAAAAACACTGGTTGTAGGAATCGCCTCCCAAAGTTTCTCTTTAAAACAAATAGTGGAAAAATGATTTCAAATTCAAACCTGCATTTTTAAGTTTGATCTTTAATCTTAGGAACTTCCAGTTGGTGATTTTAGGACTTCTTGTCTCACTGGGGTGCAAATCAGAGGTGACACGCAGACCCAGTTCTCGACTGGAACCATATTCTTCCACACACGGTGACAACGAGTGAAAACTGCTGCCCTAAAAAGAGTTGAGGAAAGCAAGTCTGTGTTTGCATTAACGGAGTACTAATGCGGTAAATGATCTCGGTCGTTATTGGCATAATTACTCTCCTCTAAAAGTGAAACAGGCTGTGTGAGTGTCCTTAATTCCTTTTTACTGTTAGAACTTCATTCATGTTTGAAGAAAATTAAATTAGCTACAGTCATTCCATATATTTACCACAATAAAAAAAAAAATCCTTTGCAGCATCAATGATTTTTTCCCCCCCCGTTTCTGGATCATTTTTTATACATATATAAAAAACAGTTTCCCTTTGCCTGGATCATTTCAGGTCAGTAGTTGCAATGTGCCGTACCATGTGACTAAACTGTTATCACCGTCTTATGTTCTGGCCGCTAACTGTCACTATGAACCAGATGTGTGATGATAAGCCCTGGTTTGAGCGGGCTCTTCCCCTCAAGCAGCGGTCAGTCCACATGCTGCTGTTAACATGAGCCTGGGACCAAACGTGTCCTGCATCAGCATGATGTAACGCTCAGACCATAAAAATGTTACCTATTCACTGAGCTTTGGTGCAATATGTATGCAACAATAACATTTGAAACACCACATCATACATGGAAATCCAGATCACCCCCATCTTCAGCAGTTTCCGCCGAGGCGGCAGCAAATCAAATGTGATTTATGACCACAGATTTTTTTGTTTCGCTCTCTGTCCACATCATGAAGCCCCCTTTTCATATATTTTTTTTTATCTGAAATGGCAGAGAAAACCACAATAATTCAGGTCCCCTCTTCCTGTCAGCACAGAAACAACCAGGCTTTCCTACACACAGCCGGGGACTCGAGTCATTTTCAACCAATTCCAACAAAGAGTTCCTCTAAAACTTCAACCTAAATTTCATGTAAAATGTGGACATGAGCATTAAGTGTAAAGTTGATGACTCCAATAGCTTCAGCTTTTTGTTTACATCAGGTGATGTAAAGATGCCCTGCATTCGATGGGGATGGGCTGCAGCGCCTCCACCCATCCCTCACACACACACACACACACACACACACACACACACACACACACACACACACACACACACACACACACACACACACACACACACACACATATCAAAACCACCTATCACAAGTGCAGAAACGTGGCTCTCTGCAGCTCTGATAATGCTGCACAGACGATGAAAACATACGGGTGCAGAGAGGAGATAAGGAACCGTTTAAGAGTTCCTCTTCTGGGACTGAGAACACGCTGCGATTTCCCCTCCATGAAGCTACAGAGGGTATGCTAATTATCTATCTATCTATCTATCTATCTATCTATCTATCTATCTATCTATCTATCTATCTATCTATCTATCTATCTATCTATCTATCTATCTATCTATCTATCTATCTATCTATCTATCTATCTATCTATCTATCTATCTATCTATCTATCTATCTATCTATCTATCTATCTATCTATCTATCTATCTATCTATCTATCTATCTATCTATCTATCTATCTATCTATTATGTGCTCATGCTTTCTTTGTACATTGTAAAACCAAACTTCTATGTATTTCATTTGGTTTTCATGTGACAGATTTCACACAAAAGTCATTGTGAAGTGAAAGGAAGATTGTTTTCAAATTATATCTAAAATAATAATAATAATAATAATCGGTGCCTGTATCAATTCAGTCATTACACAGATCGGTGCAAAAACACCGATCTGTGCAAACCGCCTGGTGTTTATTTATTTATTTACTTATTTATCTTGGCAATCGAGTCAAGATAAAAAAAATAAAAAAATAAATAATAATGATCACATGTCTTTATTTTTGTGACAAATAAAGACAAATAAATACATTCTCTTTAATTCCATGATCACTTTGCATGTCGAGTAAAAATCTCATTCTAAATGAAACCTTAAGGACTAGCGGTAGTTTCGCATCCATCCATCCATCCATCCATCCATCCATCCATCCATCCATCCATCCATCCATCCATCCATCCATCCATCCATCCATCCATCCATCCATCCATCCGTTCCACGTCTGAGTTTGGATCTCGGCCACAGACTCGTAAACATCAATGACATCCCGCCTTCAAAAAATTGGAGGCAAAAAAAAAAAAAAAAAAAAAAAAAAAAACCTGAATCAAGCTGCTCTCGTACGGTTTTGTTTTTCGCTCCACCTTCTGGCCCCCCGGACTGCGGGACGTAAACATCCCGTCTTATCGCTGCGCAGCAGGCGCGCAGCCGCGTTGCGCCATCGCGGTCATATCTGTAGAAAAAGTAGGAAAAGAAGAAGAAGAAAAAAAACAAAAAAAAACACGCAAGCCTCTCTGCTGGCTGCCGCCTGTTTCTGACAGTTGCTTTGTCCAGGGGATGCAGGCCGGACGGCGGACGGTCCGAGTCCCTCAGACCGCAGGATGACGTGCGAGCGGCTCGTCCGGCTGCTGGCTCTTTACCTGACGCTCTGCGCCGCCGCGGCCGCTGGAGACGGTCAGGGTTTCAGACGGAAAGGTGAGTCCGGCTTTCGTGCGGTTGTCACTGCCTGCTCGGCGGACGCAGGAATGACTCGGGATTCTCGTCTTGCAGCTTCTATTCTTCTGAAAGAGGAACCGAAGGACCCGAAATGCTTCGCGGAGAGCAAGAAGGACTTTGTGTGTTTCTGGGAGGAAGACGAGGAGCGGGCCGGTTCCGTGGATCAGTACACCTTCACATATGCCTACCAGTGAGTCGATGTCAAATAATAATAATAATAATAATAATAATAATAATAATAATAATAATAATAATAATAATGCGTCTGGTTTCTGGCCTCTCATCACTTTTTTTTGTTTCCTTAGAAAGGAGAACAGCAGCACGTGCGCGCTGCGGGTCCTGCGGTCAGCAGGTGGGAAGCGGCTGTTCGTGTGCCGCCTGGACCGGGTCCAGATGTTCGTCCAGCTGGACGTGCAGGTTTACCGGGACGGGATCCAGATCCACAACCGCAGCCTCCTGGTGGAGCTTCTGTGTGAGTGAAACCTGATTGTTGTTTTTCTATTGATCAAGACATTCCAAGTCCAGTATCTGATGAGCTGGATCACTTTTTTGTTTTTTTTGTGGAATTTTTATAAATAAAAACAAAATTCATGTGTTTGAAAATTGATTAAGTTATAGTTGATTTCAATATTGATCTGTTTGCGACATATTAAGCCATGCATCAGTATAGATCTACTTATTCGTGTGCAGTAATTTGCATCAGTGGAAACATTTTCCTCCGGAGGAGAGGGGACCCAAACTGCCAGCAGCCCAGGGGCCCGCGTCCTTGTAATTCCGGCCCTGGAAACCTGGGACATTTTACAAATATAATTTGAGTAACAGTTCTCATCTCGATGGAGTTTTGTTTCCCTTCCAAATCGGAAGGGAAACAGCGAAGGACTTGAGACTGGGACAAAGGTTCTCCTTTTGAGCAGGAGAGCAGCTCTGAGCGTAGATCACGTGTCCGGGTCCAAACCCAGACTGCAAATCCAACAGAGAACCTGTTGCAAAACTTGAAAAGTGGTGACGTCTCCATGAAATCTGACCGATCTGTGTAAAGTGGTGCTCCGAAGTCTAAATCTACTGTCTTGCAAAGCTGCTGCACGGAGACACAACAACGCGCTGCAGGTGGCAAATGTAGAGCAAACGTACAAAGAGAGGGAAGAGGGGAGGCAGCGTTCGTCTCATAAGGGGAACAGAACTAAAGGAAAACATTTTTTTTTTAAAGGGGAATATTAAACTTTTTTTTTTGCATATTAAGCGAGCCACAGACCACAGAGCCACGTGCAGATGCAGAGCTGCAGATGAAAAATGTGATCCCGTCTCAGCTAAAACTGAAAGCTTTTGAATTCACTTTGAATTTGAATTCACTGTTGAAAGTAAAACAGTGAAGGTAAAAAAAAACAACAAAAAAAACAAAAAAAACTCCGAATCGCTCCAACGGAACGGTTAGCTGCAGCTTCTGTGTCACGTTGTTATCAGAAATCGATTTAGTATCATCATTTGAGGCGCTGACCCCCTGACCCCTGCTGTCCATGCAGATGTAAGTGTCGACTTGTAGGGCCCAAAAGGCACAGCACTCTTTAGATTCACGGGGCGAGTGAATGCGATAGCAAAGGCCCTCTGTGTGCAACAAAGCAGTGAAAAACTGTCCGGTTGAAACAGTTTGACTTTTCATTTATTAAAGTCATTGAATTATTGATTTTTCCTGGCAGTTCTGCTCGACCCTCCTGAGAATGTGACGGTGAGCAGCACAGGCCATCCGGGCCAGCTGAACGTGAGCTGGGTGGCGCCGACGCTGAAGTACATGGACGACAGCATGACGTACGAGGTTCGCTACGCTCCGGCAGACAGTCACGTCGGGCAGGTATGACGGCTATTTCGTGACCCCACCAGTGGTCAAAACATTGTAGGATTGTCACTGCATGACTCAGGCTTCGTACTGAAGCGGAGAATTGTGTCTGCTGCAGGTGGAGGCGATAAAAGCCTGCTCCGAGATGATCCTGAGGGGCCTGGAGGCGGGAACAAAGTACAGGATTCAGGTCCGGGCCATCCTGGATGGCGTCGCCTATAACGGGTACTGGAGCGCCTGGAGCGACCCGGTGTTCATAGAGACTTTGCCTGCAGGTGGATGATCTACATGTGTTGTGTTTATAATGGAATATGTTTTGTATGCCTTTAGGATATTTAGGAAAATCCCAAAAAAGATCATGCTGGATGGAGTTCTTCATCTTTCCATCATTCACAAGTTGCCCAAAGTGCATTCTGGGGGCCTCTGTGGCCCCTGGATGGGCTTTTTGACAAACTACCTATTTGGAGACTTTTTGTTAATAATTAATCAGTTGTAATTGTCTTGGATGAACCCAGGTTTGTTTGCTTTCATTTATTGAACTTGGTTGAATGAATTCAGGTTCTTCTTTTTTATAAGAGCCAAAAATATTTTCAAAATTGGATGCCTTTCAATGAAGAAGCCAAAAATGTGCAGAACCCTTCTGTTTTGTATTTAAGATGACTTAAAAATAACTTACATATAAGAATATAACAATGTTATTGTTTTAATTAGAATATCAATATTCTTGGTTTATTGATGGGTGGGGAAAAAAAGGAGGAATCCAATCATTTTATGAACTGACAACCCACCGGTTGCAGGACGAACTCCTACCATCGTCGCCCACAAATCAACCTGATCTTGCTTTGTGCCCCACAGAACTTGACCCACTTATTGTGTCCCTGACCTTCATCATCTCCTTCATCCTTGTTCTGCTTTGTCTCACCACGCTTCTGTCCCATCACAGGTTGGTGCACTAGGAAAAGACAATCATGTGGCTTATTCATGTCGCTTGCTCTTAAAAATATGGACAGCTATCAGATGAAACAATAGTGACCACTGTATTACCTCTTTTTTTTTTTCTTTTTTTTTTTTAGGTTCCTCATCAAGAAACTTTGGCCAGCTATTCCAACTCCTGACAGCAAGTTCCAAGATCTTTTCACAGTTTATGGTGGGGACTTCAAGGTAAGAACAAGACTAAAATTCTCAGAGTTCTGTGACCTTTTTAGGTATTTGGCAGTGTGCTTACCATGACCATGGTCTCTAATTTCGCTGTTGTTTTTCATAGGAGTGGTTAGGGCAGACCAGTGGAAGCTTATGGCTCACTTCCCCTTTCATCCTCTCTGAAGAATGCCCTTCTCCATTGGAAGTACTCTCTGAACTCAACCTTTGTCCTCCGCTGTCCTCCCCACCTTTGCCACCAAAGGCCTCAAAAGCTTTGACCCTTGTCCAAAATGAGGACAGGGTTTTGAGCAAAGGCCTTCTTGATGGAGAGTCGGTGGACAGGGTTGATACCCTTCAAACAAACGGATGGAGGACCCCACTGCATGACCACTGGCTGTTGGATCGTCTGAGGGAGTTCCAACAACACTCCATCCCCAGGTCCCAGTGTTCCCTACTGGAATCTCAAGACACTTACATCACCCTCAGTGGCAACAAACGCACCGAAGAAGAGCACACGGTGGACACTCTCGAGGAAGCCTTACCCCTTGGGGTGCTTTTTGCCCCCAGAAAGCCAACCCAGAGTGAATCTCACTCTGACCTGGGCTCTGTGCAGCAAAGCTCTCGTTCTGGGAACCTTTCATCTCAATCCAGCTTTGAGTATCCAAACAATGTCTGGATAGCCAAAGATTCTGGATACACCTACATGGCAGTTGCAGACTCTGGGGTCTCCATGGATTACAGCCCAATGAGTAGAGCTGACGACATTGGCAAAGTGGTTATCTATGCCAACGACTACGAAAATGAGATTTCCTCTCATAGAAGACCTTTCCTGGTACGGCAGTGCCCTGTCCATGATGATGGCTGAGCGGATACCAACTTCAATTGGAGGGCTGGAGAACCGCATATGGATATTCGCTCCAGGCTAATGATGGCCTCTCGTCAACTGTTAGGAAAATATTGTCTAATAGACTGATGGAGTCTATTAGACAGCAGCTAACAGACTCAAAGAGAATGACACTTTGGATATTCTGTAAAGGACACGACTCTTCCATATGAAGCAATATCACCTGTGATTCATAGCACATATGAATACTCAACACTATCCACCAAACCTTCCAGATTCGATTGGAAAAAGTGTTTGCAGGATTTTATATTTGAAATAATTGTGTTTTTGTTTATCCTTCAGTGACAGGATTGCTACAACACCTCAGGCATGGTGAAAAGAAAGACTGCTGTAGAAAGTGTTTCTCTGGAATTACTTAATTGTGAACAAATTAATTAAGAAAAGCATAATTAAGCTATTATTACCTCAGTTTCATTCTGTCTATAGTAGCCTAACCTAAATCTGTAGAACTATCCGGGTGCAGGCATCATTCTCTGGCCCCCCCAAGTCTTTTTCTACTTGTTTAACTGACTTTTGGGCCTTAAAGTGGTTATGAGAGTCTGTATCTGTATACTTTTATAAATCTCTGTTTTATACACTTGCATTTTATTAGGAATTAAAAAGCTTGCATTGAATGCTAGCCAGCAGTTCCAGTTAGCTAATATGCTTATGCCGCCAACAATGCTAAAGTTTGTTAGATTATGACGTACCTCACATACAGTGTTTATCCAATGTGTTAGCATGCTAACATTTTGTCATTAGCACACAACACAAATTGAGGTTAAGTCTGGAATTAATTTTTGTTTTTACCTTTTCATGTTCAAAAGAATAACGTCATCAGCATCCAACCCTTGGAAATTTGGTGCTGCGCAAGAAGGTGGTCGAAATATTCATGAAATATTCATGAATTATCTTGACATTAGCAAGGCAACACAAAAATGGCCATTTAAGCTGAATTGTAGTAGGCCTACATCACAACTTGAGATTTTGTATATTTTTGTACATTGTCCTCTCATTTTGTTCAATCAGGTTGTAGGTTGGATTCCAGCTTCCCCCTGTCATACGTTGATGTGATGTGTGGGCGAAGGGCAAGTTGATCAGTTGCTTGCCAATCTGGTATCGGTGTAAAAAAAGAGTTTGTGAGCCCAAATGAATTAATGTGGCTGTAGTGTAAAGCACTTTGAGTCATTTAACATCACGGTGATTTACCAACTACACCAAATCTACATAATATTAATAGTGCTCACTGCCGGGTCATTTCTAAATCTTAAATCTAGAATATTTGTGTGAAATATTAAATAATTTGTTTCAGATACAGATAGTATTTTTTAAAATCATTTATCGAAAACAGAATTTTAAAGTATATTTCAGTGAAATTCTTATTACTGTAGGCTATGCAGCATTGCTTTAAGATAATTATATTTAGGCAACTGTACTTATTTTAATAATTCCTTCTGTTGTACATCTTTGGCCCCTAAAGAGCAGAACCTGGCAGACTACAATTTTCCAGTTGACTGCAGATCTGATTAACCTTTTAATAAGCTCATTTGCTTGCTGTGAAGGATAAACATGTTGCAGCTGAAATTGTAAATTGAATTGTATTACTGAACCATTATTGTTTTTGTAAAAAGTGTGCATGAAGCAACAGACGCAGATTTGTAGGGGGGGGGGGGGAAATCTGCAACTGTTTCCCTTTCAATGATCGCATTTAAATCACAACTGACTTGAACATTCAAATTTGTATTTTCTCTAACTTGGACACATCTTGTACACCTAAAAGCTTTTTTTTATCATTATTTTCACAAAAAGATATTTGTGCTATACTTGCTTTAAAAATAAGTTCTGAATATATTTTGATTAAAAAAAAACAAATCAACCTAAAACTTGTCTGTGAAGTCTTTCGTATAAAACAATTGAAACTTTGAACGATACGCAGAAACCTTTACAAAGCACAACATTTATTTTTGATATAAACAAGATGATCTGGAGAAGAGGACAGAAAGGATCACTTCATAGTGGTACTTAGTTGAAAACACATCATTTTGCGCCAGTATTTCATCTTTTTTCCTTGTTCATCGAACTCATCAAACCTTCTTCCACGTGTTTGTTTTTGCACACATCGACTGTGTACGTCCCTGAACATTTTAGGAGTCAAGTCAAACTCAAAGCTTGCGAAGAAATGCCTCGACCTTTCAAGAAACCTGGTGCATATTTTTCTTCTCTTTTATGTCATGTAGTATTTTTAATTTTTTTTAAATCCAATCTGTAGGTGAGACATTACCGTAAAAGGAAACTGGAAATCAGTATTGGCTGGGAAAAGCAGATCGGTGCACCTTTAAAAATAGGATTATGTTAATTATAATCCTATGCTTTTCTTACATGTATTTAGTATGTAAGAAAACATTAAAAAAAATTCTCCATAAAAATGAAGTGTTTTAACATCGGGAGCCTTTCAAACTAACTTAAACTCCATTAAACCCTCAGGGAAAATGAAGAGTTTCCACTCCTGGGCCCAAGCGGGCCCATCCTCACAGTCATCTGGGATTTTAGTTCCAGACAGGTAGACGTGCCAGGCCTCCTGAGCTGCTGCGGCGGCAGCTTCGTAGCTTCTGTCCTGGTCCAAAGTGCAGCGAGCTTGGAAGTAGCGGTCAAGAACGTCCAGAATGGGATCCGTTGCCGAGCTGTCCCGGCTGTCCTGCCTGCTGTCCGCGTCCGAGAGGAAGGAGGCGATGGCGCGGCAGGGGGCCGAGCTGGAGCCCCTCTTTTCCAGGACTTCGGTGAGAAAGGCAGCGGTGTCGCAAAGCAGCGCCGCCAGATGGGCAGCGCGAGACTCGTCTCCTGAGTGAAAGCCAACATGGCTGCCGGCGACGGCGCCCCACAGGAAGCCGTCCAGTCTGTCGATGATGATGAGGGAGGGCGGGCATGGGGACTCGTGAAGACTGGCAACCTGCTGCAGTAGCTCCTCCAGGGACCGGGGGTAGCTGAATGTGATTTTCTTCAAATAACAGTGAGAATAATAATAATCATGAAAAAGTTACAAATGAAGTGAAAGTGAAACGTCACACAGTAGCTGAGACTGTAACTCAGATAATCCTGACATGCTGTCATGAATAAGTTGCTAATAGTCTCTTGATTTTAGGTTGGCAAACATATCCAATCCCACAACGAACATCATTCTTTTTTTATTCTCCACATTTTGTCAAATCACAACCAAAGACGCACCAATCTAATATTGATATCTATATCGCTCCAATATTTTAAAAAACAATCTAAATCAGGTATCGTTAATAATGTGGCCAGTCCATCAGCGTAGATCTATTTAGTCAATTTCTATGTTTTGTACTATGAGAAACATCATGATTTATAATTTATTTTACATGATCTGCTCTACTCCTAATTGCACTGGCTGAACAAATTAAAGTTGTGTTGATTTTACATGTTTGACTCGTGAAGCTACATTTTTTCTCAGTGGTTTTAGTGTGCTACGCTGTTGCAGAGTTATCAGATACATTTGTACTTCAGTATGAAATATGTAAATGTTTTCTTTTTCTTTTTTAAAGAAAAGTTTTAAGTCAACTGAGCACTGTTTTTCTGCATCAGATCGGCATCAGCCGATACTAAACCTATATCGATATCGAAAGTAAAAAAAACCAAACAGCTGATCAGTGTATTCTTACTTCAAACCTTATCGATTGTTCCAATGTGTTTGTCTCGTTGGCTTGAAATCTTCTCAGGTATTTTACTGATTTAATCTAGATTCAATCAAATTAAAACCACAACTTTCTGTACTTCTATTTATTCCTGAAGGTTGCTACGAGCTGAGGTGTCCTCCAGGTGTCGCTGTTTTTAATTAGACCGAAGTCTTGTTCGTTTTGCCACCTTGCTTTTACTGTGTGCTGCCTTCAGGAACTGCTTCAAAATGAGAATATACTACACACAGGCCGGTTTCGTTTATTAAACAGGGACTTTTGGATGTAATTCATTGAACTAGAGTTATTTTTTAGGGGTGTGCGATATTTTTTAAAGTCAGTATCTGTGTCACATAAATATTCCAATAAAACACACAGAGGTTTTATTGGAACGTGACAAAGGTCGTAAACAGACGGCGACTGTCGTTGTGGTTTTCCGGGGTAGTTTGGTTTACCTTCAGCCCCTCGGGGTTCTGGGTTGCGCTGCATCTCTGCAGACACTCCGGGAGGCTCTGAATCTGAGTTCGGGCGAAGAAAGCCACCCTGATGCCGAGCTCCGAGGCGGCGATGACGGCCGCCAGCAACAGCACGGAGCGGCTGAGGCGGTGCTCTCCCACCAGCAGGGTGCTGGAGCGGGCCGCTGGGGAAGGAGGACCGGCACCGGGGTCCTTGTTCTGACCTGTCTGTGACGACAAGGTCCTGAACACCAACGTTAGGATGTCTGTCATCGGAAACCGAACAAAATTCACTTGGCACTCAAAGTTTCCCGCGGCTGTTTACGGATGACACACCGGTGTTACAGCGAAAACGGTCCGGATAGAAAACAAGCAACTGTCACCATATAAATAATTTTGTTTCTGGTATCTATGGTTTATATTCACACGAGCTCTTGCGTATGTATCTATATATATATAGCGCTGATTCTGTTCAATGGTAAGATTAACATAAAACTAAAATACCGTGCTTCCTGTGAGGCTTAAAGCAACTTCCGGTAATCACAGGATCAGCTGTCGGCATTAAATACCAAGATGGCGCACTGTCCGGCGGACCGTCCTTCTGAGGCCGACCGAGCCGGGGACCGAGGTGTTCCGAGGCGGTGTCGGGGCCGGCCGAGGCTCACGGACTCAGACCGAGCTCAGAGGCGGCTGGAGTCCCGAAAGAAGTACGACGTGAGGAGGGTGTACCTCGGAGAGTCGCACAAGCTGTGGAGCGAGCTCCGCAGGAGGACCAGCCTGAGTGATGCTGGGCTGGCCGAGTACCTCATCCTGCTCAACAACACTTATGGAGACAAGTACCGGCAGGAGTCCTGCGGGTAGGAGCGGGGATACGGAGCGCACATACAGCGGGCTGCTTTTAAATTCCTCATGAAAGTGATGGTTGTTGTGTTTCAGAAAGAAGACCACAGCAGGAATGACTGGGAAACAGAAAGGAGGTGTGTGTGTGTGTGTGTGTGTGTGTGGTGTGTGTATGTGTGTGTGTGTGTGTGTGTGTGTGTGTGTTGTCTTTGCTTATCTGGGAATATTTTCAGGTTAGTTTCACGTTTCTATTTTTGGGATTGTGGTGCCTCCCTACCTTCCACTATTTTGTCATATTCCAAGCACAGATTGTACCTGATTGGAATGTATGTAGGAGTACAAGAATACGTCGGTGCACTTTTTCTTAAAATTTTTTTAAGATCTGCTACTTTTATCTAAAAACTTATCTTTTCCACCGATCTCATCCACCTCTGCAAGGTCTGAAATAAGCCACTTCCCTCTTGTTCTGCCATGAGACAGGGCTGACTCACCTGCACTGTTGCCAATTTATCAAATTTGTTGCCGTTTTCGCAAATCTTCACACCAAATAACTGGTATCTGCCGAGTCGAAATGTGGAACAGACTTTTAGTGGATCAGCGATGGACCAGAAAACTGGAAACTAAATTTATTTGACTCAAAAGCGTTGCATAAAACTGGAGTGAAAAGACAGAAATCCGTTGCTTTTCTCTCTAAATATCACAACAACAACAACAAAAAATTCAATTATGCTTTGCCTTTTGTATTTTTGCAAGTTTAAAATGAAATCTTTATTTTGAAAAAGTAAAATGTCTGAGGGAAAAGAATAATAATGATAAAATGACTAAGAAAATAAAAACGTGTTTTAATTAGGCCTGACACAATAAGAAATGTTGCTGGACGATAAATCATCCCAGAAAGGATTGTGATAAACAAACCAATTTTCAATTTATACAATATTAATAATAGTGGGATATTATTAATGCAAATATATCTGGTCAAAAATGATAAAAACACTAATTTCTAAAGCACTAGAACTGGGGGGAAAAATGTAAATCTCCACAAAAAAAAAAAAGCAAAACAACAATAATTAAACTAGATTGTGAAGTCTCTGTAACTGAAATTGCATTAAAAAATATTAGTCATTCATCCTTGATAAGGATGAATGAGTAATATTCGTCATGCAATTAATTGACTTATTGCTTATTTTAACTGACCTGTCATAGTCAATAATAATAAAACAAGAACATAAAAGTTCAGTTGCAATTTGAAAAGGAGTAGGAAGAAGTCGAAGTATCTTATCCCAACAAGAACATTTCTTAACTTTGTAACTTTTTTTTTTTTTTTTTTGGTGTGAAAAATGTGGTTATCTTTGCTGTGTCTGCTGCCTATCAGGTAGGAAGCAGCGCGTCTCCAGCCTCCAGGGTCTGGTGAGTTGGTACCGGGAGCACTCGGCCTCCTGCCCCCACGAGCCTCAGCTCAGAGCCCTGGAACCGAAGGCGAACCTCGCCACTACCGCCGTGTGGCGCTGCGAGTCGGACCACTCCTTCGTGCAGCACCTCCACTCCCCGCCGAAGGAGGTCAGCGACTCGGAGAGTGACGAGAGGGGGAACAGCGACGGAGAGGCCGCAAACAAAACGGAGCCGCCGTCGGCTAAAGGCAGACAGAGAAGAAAGGAAGGCAACAAAAAGTGTAAAGGTGCATCGACTCTACTCTGCCTCATTGGCTTGGCTTCCATTGCAAATGTGCGCAAATATCCGTCTGTCTTCTAATGTTGAATTGCGGTGTCCTCATTAAATACGACTTTAAAAATGATGGCAGCGACGGATGTAAGCAATTAGTTGAGACGTTTTCATATTTCAGCCAATAGCAAAACCGATTCAATGCTTTCGGATGACGCGCGACTTTTTATGAATGGTGAGAGCCAAAACCAAACGTCATCCTCCTTCCACTTTCTGTCGTCGACCTTGAGGTTTCGCCAGTAGCAGCAACATCCAGCGTTTCTATCTCAGTTTTGTGAAATACATTCATTTCCATACAGCGAAAAACCACTTTATTATAGTGGCCATGTTTCCATTTAGCAAATTTATTTTGGTGCTTTAAATTTGCTCAATTTTATCGTTAGTGGAAATGCTGTTGATGTTTCGTTTTTGTTTAGATGAGCTTGCTGATGCCACGAACCAGACAGAAGAAGATGGAGGTCAAACCCAGCAGCCAACGATGGAGGCTTCATCTGCGCTGCCAGGACAGCCTGCCTGGGACGCGGCGTCTTTACACTCTGCCTCTGCTGAGGAAGACGAGGGAGCAGCGCTGGAGGATGTGGAGCAAGAACGTGAGGGGGGGAAGCTGAAGACTTTGGCGCCTGATTACGCCTGCAGCGCGGCAGCAGAAGCGTCTTTACCCGATGAAGCGATCGAGGCCAATCGACGCTCGAGTGGATCCGTCCCTCTGAGTTCTCATCTGGGGATGTCTGACCCGCCGCCTGCGCAGGCCCAGGATCAGACCCAACGGTTCCAGCCTCAGCCTCTGCAGACGGCGGCGGCCGGCTGCGAACTTCCCAACCAGCGGACGGCGTTGGAAAGCTCCCAGGTAGGCCTGCACCTCATGTCAGGAACTGCTTATTACTTAAGGACCATGCAGCGTTTCCCCCAACGTACGATGAGCCTTCTTGCTTTCCTCTTTGTTCACATTCTTTTTTTCCTTTCTTGTTTGTCTTTTTTTCAATTTCTTTAATTTTGTTCTGTTTCTTTCTTTTATGTTTTATTTTTCTTATTTATTTCTCTTCCTCTTCTTCTTTCTTTGTGTCTTGTTTTTCTTGTTTTCTCATTTCTCTCATTTATTTCCTTCTGACTTTCGTTCTTTTTCCGCTGTAAACAAATCCTCCATTAATCAAAATAAATTTGAGCATTTGATATTTGTCCAATAAATACAACACACCGATGACTCTGCAAAGTGAAGTGGGAAAAGTGGGATCATAAAATGCAGAATGTGTAGGTTGGTGGGAACATCTTTGATTTGTCTTCCTCCTTCCATTCCCAGCTGATCATCATCACTGGTCCCAGCTATGAGGCTTTGGCGTCAGAAGGAGTCCAGCTCAACATGGGCAGTGGAAACATGGAGGAAGTCACCTGCACTGTGATTGGCGGCGTCGCCTACAGCCAGCTGTGTTCGCCAGACTTCAAAGTCCGAGACGCGCCGGAGGAAGATTCCCTGACAGGTAGTAAAGAAAATAAAATGGAGTGTTTGCTGGAAATTTCTTTTATTTTAAGAAAACATTACGGAGTTTTAAGCCTGGACTATTACTCTTGAGAAAGTAATAGCTTCTGTGTTTTTGTTTTTCCAAAAAGACCTTAAAAAAATCCATTGTTCTATCTAGAGTTTTACATTTTGTTGAATGAGGACTCAGCACTTCCCTCCCGACATCTAGTAAATCAGTTACCTCAGTTTCTAATTAAGAGTGTGTCCACAAAAATGAAACGCCAGTCTCCGGTTTTGATCAGGGGAACGATGCCCAGACGGTTTCAGTTCTTTCCCGTTAACCAGCGCTCTGCAATTTTTGGTTAAAAATTATCTGTGTGGATTTTTCCCCACCGTGTTTTCCGGGAGCAGCAAGCATCCTGGTTTTGGGTCTTTGGAGATGAGTAACCAGCCGGAACCAGCCGGTCAGAGTGCAGCGGTTCCCCTTTCATGGTGGGTCCAGAACACTGGATGCAAATTATACCTTCATGGTTGTTACAATCTGGGCTCCTTACAAACCGTTGAGGAAAAGACCAGTGTTTGTTCAGTTTTTTTCTGAGCCATTAATTTAGTTATTTGTTTTTGCGCAATACAAAATCGACGAAAGTGCAGCTCGATGTGTTAAGGGAATAAATAAATGAATCCTACTTTGATATGAGACATTGTTTCAGTTAATAAGCGAATGAAGAATGACGCCGAACGCTTTGTATTTTAATGGAGGGTCAAGCAGAGAAAAAAAATGGCCATTGAGACTCCCAGCAGAACCTGGGAGAGAAGAAGAGAAGAAAGTACAACGTTTTTAATATCCACCAGCCCTCTAACAAAGAGGGGAGGAAAAAGGAGTATCCACCAGTTTCAGTTTACTTCACAACTCTGGTATTTGGACGGTTCAAACCGAGCTCAAAAATACCCTTTATTGTGCATTTCCAATGAGCTGAATCCAACACGAAGGGTGCTTTATCGATCAAATAGATTGATTACTTGATTGACTGAAATAAAACAAAGTTTTGCCATAACGTATTTTTATTAAAACTACGTTATGGCATTACGTTGGTAATATTCAGTTTTTAAAACTACCTTTTGATGTTTCTTTTTTTCTGATCGATAAAAGCATCTTATCTAATCATGGTAACAACCATCAGTGTGGATGGCATTACTGAGCAAAGAAGAGCCAGCTAGCCATCTTTAGCTCATCTGAGTAGTTACCAAATGTAGTCAG